GGAGAATTCCATGAACTATATAGTCCATGGGGTCACAAATGGACACAACTGAGTGACTTTCACTTTCAACTCAAATATATAAGAAAGTTTTATAACAATAGCAAAAAAATACAAGCATTCTAATTTAAGAATAGACCTGAGACCTAATAAACACTTTCCAAAGAAGACGTACAAATGGCCAACATGCACATGAAGAGATGCTCAACACTGAGAATCATCAACGAAATGCAAATCAAAACCACAATAAGCTATCACCTCACACGTGTCAGGGTGGCTGTTATCAAAAAGACAACAAAAAACAAGTATCCATGAGGAAGTGGAGAAAAAGGAACCCTATACATTGTTGATGGGAATATAAACTGGTATAGCCATTTTCAAAACAGTATGGAGATTCTTCAAAAAATTAGAAATAGAACTACCATATAATCCAGCAATCCAAATTTTGGGCATATATCTGTAGGAAATGAAAGCAATATCTCAAAGGTGTATATATATATATATAAAATGCCGTCATTAAAAAAGGAAATTCTGCCTTTTGTAACAACATAGATAAGCCTGGAGGACATTATGCTAGGTGAAATAAGCTAAGCACAGAATGACAAATGATATATGATTTCACTTATATATGGAATCTGAAAATGTTGAACTTATATAACCAGAAAGTGGAATAATGTTTGCTGGGGGCTGGGGCTCGGGGAAATGGGGAGAAGTTGATCAAAGGATACACATTTTCAGTTACAAGATGAATTCATTTAAAAAGATGAATGAGTTCTAGGGATCTAACACACAGCATGGTGACCATAATTAATAATATTGCATAGTTGAAATTTGCTAAAAGAATAGATATAAGTGTTCTAACCACAGGAAATATTTCAAGTATGGAGATGATGGATGTGTTAATTAACTAGATTATGGTGATCATTTCACAGTCCTTATCTTTCACACCCTAAAAGAAAACATCATGTTATACAACCTAAATATATACAATTTTTATTTGTTAATCATACCTCAATAAAGCTGAAAAAAGATAAATAACCCAATTAAAAATTAGTAAATGATAAAAAAGAAAAATATTGGCAAAGGATCAGAATGGACATTACTCCAAAGTAGATACACAAATTGCAATAAGCACATGAAAAAATTCTACTAAATTATTAGTCATCAGGAAATTGTAAATGAAAATTACATAGAGATACCACTTTCCACCCACTCAGATGGCTATAATCAAACAAATGGAAAATAAATATTAGCAAGGATGTGGAAAAATTGGTACCCTTATACATTGCTGGTGGAATTGTAATAAGGTTCAGTCCTGTGGAAAACAGTTTGGCACTTCCTTATAAAGTTCAACACAGAATAACCATATGAACATGCAGTTCCACTCCTAGGTATGTATCTAAAAGAACTGAAAAAGGGTATTGAAAGAAATACTTGCATGTGAAGCAGTATTCACAATAGTTCAAAAAGGTAAACAGCTCAAATGTTCATCAATGAATGGATAAATTGTAGTATATCCATACAATGGAATATTATTTGGTCATAACAAGAAATGAAGTACTGATTAATGCTACAACATGAATGAAGCTAGAATATATTATGCTAAGTGAAAGAGCCCGGTTTCAAAGTTCCACATATTGACTGAGTCCTTTCATATGAAATATTCAGAATAAGAAAATCTTCAGAGACATAAAGTAGAATAGTGATTGACTAGGGATGGGAAGTTTAGGTGGAAATGAGGAATGATGGCTAATGAGTGTGGAGTTTCTTTGTAAACTGTTGCAAATTGATCCTGGTGCTGGTCATACAACCTGAATATACTAAAAACTACCAATTTATAGACTAGATGGGTGAATGGTATGATAGTGTGCATGCTCAGTCACTCAGTTGTGTCTAACTCTTTGCAACCCCATGGACTGCAACCCTCCAGGCTCCTCTGTCCATGGAATTTTACAGGCAAGAATACTGGATGGTGTTGCCATTTCTTCCACCAGGGGATCTTTCAAACCCAGGGATCAAACCTGGGTCTCCTGCACTGGTAAGTAGATTCTTTACCACTGCACCATGATATGTGAATTAAATATCATCTATTAATTAAATACCAATAAAGCTGTTTGAGAAAACATATGCTGAAAGGATAGAAGAGATATCAAAGTAATGTATGTGCCTGTCTAAACAAAGTTCAACATTCTGTAAAGGAATATATAAAAATACAGCACTCAGTGAAGCAAAATTAACAATATTTGACATCTACATAAAATTGCATAAGCAGGAAAAATGTTAGCTATGTCAAAGAGAAAAATAAGTCAATAGAAACAGAGCCAGAAATGTCAAAGATGAAGGAATTGGTTGACAAACATACAACCTGGATAGTTATTGTGCTATCCACAAGGGTTTAAAGGAAAATGTAAACCTAATGAAGAGAGCATTGAATGATAAGAATCAACTGGAAATTTTAGAGATGAAAAACACCTTACTGGACATGAAAACTGTCCAAAACGGGATTAAGAGAAGATTAGACTCTGCAAAAGCTAAGATCAGTGAACTTGAAGACATAGCAAAATAAAGTCTCCAACCTGAAGCTCAGGGTGGGGGACAAAGGCTATAAAAATACAAATGAACAGAGCTTCAGTCACTTGTGATACAATACCAATAACTGTAAAACACATTTAATAGAACACTGCATTGAGCAGGAAAAAAAATGCAGCTTTCGAAGACCTAAATGTAAGACCAGAAACTATAAAACTCTTAAAGGAAAACATAGGCAGAACACTTGATGACATAAGTGAAAGCAAGATCCTTTATGACCCACCTCCTAGAGTAATGGAAATAAAAACAAAAGTAAACAAGTGGGATCTGATTAAACTTAAAAGCTTTTGCACAGCAAAGGAAACTATAAGCAAGGTGAAAAGACAACCCTCAGAATGGGAGAAAATAATAGCAAATGAAACAACTGACAAAGGATTAATTTTCAAAATATACAAGCAACTCATACAACTCAATACCAGAAAACGAAANTACAACTCAATTCCAGAAAAACAAACAACCCAATCAAAAAGTGGGAAAAATACCTAAACAGACATTTCTCCAAAGAAGACATACAGATGGCTAACAAACACATGAAAAGATTCTCAACATCGCTCATTATCAGAGAAATGCAAATCAAAATTACAATGAGCTATCACCTCACACTGGTCAAAATGGCCATCATCAAAAAGTCTACAGACAAAAAATGCTGGAGAGGGTGTGGAGAAAAGGGAATGCTCTTGCACTGTTGGTGGGAATGTAAATTGATACAGCTACTATGGAAGACAGTATGGAAAGTCCTTTAAAAAACTAGAAATAAAACCACCATATGACCCAGCAATCCCACTGCTAGGCATATTCCCTGAGGAAATCAGGGTTGAAAAAGACATATGTATCCCATTGTTCATTGTAGCACTATTTACAATAGCTAGAACATGAAAGCAACCTAGATATCCATAGACAGATAAACGGATAAAGAAGTTGTGGTACATATACACAGTGGAATATTACTCAGCCATAAAAAGGTATGCCTTTGAGTCAGTTCTAATGAGGTGGATGAACCTAGAACCTATTATACAAAGTGAAGTAAGTTGGAAAGAGAAAGATAAATATTGTATTCTAATGCATATATACAGAATCTAGAAAAATGGTACTGAAGAATCTATTTACAGGGTAGCAGTGGAGAAACAGACAAAGAGAATAGACTTATGAACATGGGGAGAGGGGAGAAGAGGGTAAAATGTATAGAAAGAGTAACATGGAAACTTACATTACTATATGTAAAATAACCAGTGGGAATTTGCTGTATGGTTCAGGAAACTCAAACAGGGGCTCTGTATCAACCTAGAGGGGTGGGATGGGAAGGGAGATGGGAGGGAAGTTCAAAAGGGAGGGGTATATGTATATATGACTGATTCCTGTTGAAGTTTGCCAGAAAACAACAAAATTCTGTAAAGCAATTATCCTTCAATACAAAAATAAATTAATTTAAAAAATATGCATCTTTCAAGGGCACACTGAACATTTACCTTGGTAGCACATATATTCTGTTCTATAAAATAGATCTCAATAATATTTAAAAGACTGAAATAATATCTTTGACAGAAACAAAAGCCGTACTTAACCCTAATGTCCTATATTATAAAAAAGAATCTTAAACAAGGAATCGAACCTCTCTTCAGAAATGAGAAAGTGAAGAGGTAAATAAACTGCAAGTAAGTAGAAGCAATGGAATAATACAGATAGGAGCAGAAATCAATGACATAGAAAAGAGAATACAGAGAAAATCAATGAAACCAAAACGTGGTCCTTTGAGAGGTTCAATCAAATTGATAGTTGTCTAGCCAGATCAATCATGGAAGAAAAAGAGAGAGAGGGCATACATTACTATCAAGATTGAGAGTAGTAAGGTCACTATAGACTGCAGGGGTAGACGGAATAGTATGAAGAAGTCTATGAACTTCCATATATGATGCTGGGTGAAGGGTTGAAGGCCAGGAACTCAGGCAGGATACAGATCCCATTACCCGTGACAGAAGCCTCCTTAAGAAGGCCAGGTCAAGGATTTCCACAGCACTGTCACACGACCACTTTACTTCCTAAGACCGAAAGATCTCCAGATCTTTCATCTGTGGTCCCCAACATGTCCCTCTTTCTCATGATATTCACTCAATGGCAGTTGTTTATTCTCTTATTGAGGGTCTATCATGCCTTGGTCGCCTGAGATGCTCTGCCTCACGCGGGGTCCTACCTCCCTGAACCCGCTATACTCGGCCCCAGCGCCTCGTGACTTCATGCCTCACCTCATAATTCTGCAGGCCCGAGTCAGGGGGTGCAGGACAGAGTGACGGTGACTTCATGCCTCACCTCATAATTCTGCAGGCCCGAGTCAGGGGGTGCAGGACAGAGTGACGGTGAAGGCCGGCTGCCAGGCAAAGTCTTTGTTCCGTCATCTCAGGCGCCCCTCCCATTGCCCGGGTACAGGCTCAGTCAGCTGGCCGGAAGAGGAGGGGCCAGCTTTTGCTGCCATTACCCTTGTGGCTGGCAGCCGGCGACGCACTTATGGGGTCGTCTGCGTCCAAGGCTGCCCTCGCCGCAACCACCAACGAGCCCACCGAACCTGAGCCGAAACACTTGGCAGGTGAGTAGGCACTATGGCCTCTCAGGCCCTGCTGCAGCCCCAGCACCCTCCCCCTCCACCGCATGGCCATGGGCACGGGGGCGTGGGGGAGGGGGCGTTCGCACTCTAGTGCCTTTGATTGAGCCTGGAACCCAAACCATGGTCTCTTTAACTCCAAACGTCGAACTTTTTGCACGTTCAGCCTGAACCTTGAGGCATAATAGGCAGCGGAGTAACAACTCGGGCTTCTGAGAGGGGTCCCATTCTTAAAGTTTTCTGTTGCCCAGAGACTCCCTGTGGAGCAAGTATGGGGGTCTGTGTGTGTGCATGCTCAGTCATGTCCGACTCTTTGTGCCGGAACAGTGGCGGATGGGTGTGTGTGTGTGTGTGCATGCTCAGAGGTGTGCAACTCTGTACCAGAGCAGTTGTTTATGGGTGACTGTGTGTGCATGCACATGCTCAGTCGTGTCCGACTCTTTGCACCGGAGCAGTGGGATATGGTTGTATGTGTGTGTGTGCACGTGTGCATGCATACTCAGTCATGTCCAACTCTTTGTGCTGGAGCAGTGGCATATGGCTGTGTGTGTGTGTGTGTGTGTGTGTCTGTGCTCAGTCCTGTCCAACTCTTTGTACCAGAGCAGTGGCGTGTGTGTGTGTGTGTGTGCTCATTCATGTCTGATTCTTTGCACTGGATCAGTGTCATATGGGTTTGTGTGTGTGTGTGTGTGTGTGTGTGTGCTCAGTCATGTCCAAATCTGCACCAGAGCAGTAGCAGATTTGTGTGTGTGTGTGTGTGTGTGTGTGTGCTCAGTCATGTCCAAATCTGCACCAGAGCAGTAGCAGATGGGTGTGTGTGTGTGTGTGTGTGTGTGTGCTCAGTCATGTCCAAATCTGCACCAGAGCAGTAGCAGATGGGTGTGTGTGTCTGCATTTGTGTGTCCATGCTCAGTCATGTCTGACTCTGTCCCAGAGGAGTGGCATGTGGATGTGTGTGTGTGTGCGTGTGTGCACGTGCATGCTCAGTAGTGTTCGACTCTTTGTGGTGGAACAGTGGTGTATGGGTGTGTGTGTGTGTGTGCTCAGTTGTGTCCAACTGCACCAGCGCAGTGGCATATTGGTGTGTGTGTCTGTTCAGTTGTATCTGACTCTTTTCACCAGAGCAGTGGCATATGGGTGTGTGCGTGTCTATGCCCTCAGTAGTGTCTGACTGTTTGAGTTGTAACAGTGGCAAATGGGTGGGTGTGTGTGTGTGTGTGTGCTTGGTTGTGTCCAACTGCACCAGAGCAGTGGCATATGGGTGTGTGTGTGTATGTGTGTGTGATCAGTTGTGTCCAACTCTTTGTGGTGGAACAGTGGTGTATGGGTGTGTGTGTGTGTGCTCGGTCGNTGTGTGTGTGTGTGAGCTCAGTTGTGTCCGACTCTTTGTGCCAGAGCAGTGGCGTATGGGTGTGTGTGTGTGTTTGTGTGCATGCTCAGTCGTGTCTGACTCTTTACCCTAGAGAAGTGGCGGATGGTTGTGTGTGTGTGTGTATACTCAGTCATGTCCAGCTCTGCACCAGAGCAGTGGCAGATGGGTGTGTGTGTGCGCTCAGTCCTGTCTGACTCTTTGCACTGGAGCAGTGGCATATGAGTGTGTGCATGTGTGTGTGTGTGTGCGTGCTCACTCCTGTCCAACTGTTTGCACTGGAGCAGTGGCACATGGGTGTGTGTGTGTTGGTATGTGTGTGTGCTCAGTCATGTCCGATTCTTTGCACTGGAGCAGTGATGGATGGGGTGTGTGTGTGTGTGTCTGTGGGCGAACTCAGTCATGTCCTACTCTTTGTGCCTATCCAGTTTTGTATTGGTGTGTGTGTGTTTGTGTGTGTGCTCAGTCATGTCTGATTCTTTGCACTGGAGTGGTGACGGATGGGTTTGTGTGTCTGTGTGTGTCTGCATGTTCAGTCATGTCTGACTCTTTTTGCCAGAGCAGAGGCATGTGTGTGTGTGTGTGTACTCAGTCATGTCTAACTCTGCACCAGAGCAGTGGCATATGGGTGTGCATGTATTTGTGTGTGCGTGTGCACTCAGTAGTGTCTGACTCTTTGTGGTAGAACAGTGGCATATGGGTGTGTGTGTGTGCTCGGTCGTGTCTGACTGCACCGGAGCAGTGGCATATGGGGGTGTGTTGGTGCCCATGCGCTCAGTCATGTCTGACTCTTTGCACCGGAGCAAAGTGGGATATGTATGTGCATGTGTGTGTGTGTGTATGTGCATGTGTGTATGCATACTCAGTCATGTCCGACTCTTTGTGCCAGAGCAGTGGCGTATGGGTGTGTGTGTGTCTGTCTGTATGTGAGCTCAGTCGTTTCTGACTCTATGCACCTGAGCAGTGGTGTTGGGTATGTGTGTTTGTGTGTATGCTCAGTAGTGTCTGATTCTTTGCACCGGAGCAGTGGCGGATGGTTGTGTGTGTGTGTGTGTACTCAGTCATGTCCAACTCTTTGCTGTGAAAGTGGCATATGGATGTGTGTGTGTGCGTGTTCAGTCGTGTCCGACTCTTTGCACCAGAGTAGTGGCAGATGGCTGTGAGTGTGTGTGTGTATTTGTGCGCTCAATCTTTTCTGACTCTGCACCAGAGTGGTAGCATATGAGGGTGTGTACATGTCAGTCCTGTCTGACTCTTTGTGCTGGAGCAGTGGCATATGGGTGTGTGTGTGTGTGTGTGTGTGTGCGCGCGTGTGCATGCATGCATGCTCAGTCATGTCTGACTCTTTGCACCGGAGCAGTGGCGGCTGGCTGTGTGTGTGTGTGCGCGCGCGCGCGCGTGTGTGTGTACACAGTTGTGTCCAATTCTGCACCAGAGCAGTAGCATGTGGATGTGTGCATGTGTGTGTGTGTGTGTGCTCAGGCGTGTCCAACTCTTTGTGCTGGAGCTCTGGCGTATGGATGTGTGTGTGTGTCTGTGTGTGAACTCAGTTGTGTCCTACTGTTTGCGCAGTGGTGTGTGGGTGTGTGTATGTCTGTGTGTGAGCTCAGTTATGTCCGATTCTTTGCACTGGAGCAGTGGCATATGTGTGTGTGTGTGTGCATGCTCAGTAGTGTCCGACTCTTTGTGGTAGAACAGTGGTGTATGGGTGTGTGTGTGTGTGTGTGTGTTTGGTCATGTCTGACTCCTCCAGCACAGTGGCAGATGGGTTTCTGTGTGTGTGTCCATGTTTAGTCATGTCTGACTCTTTTCGCTGGAGCAGTGGCATGTGGGAGTGTGCGTGTGTGTGTGTGTGCTCAGTCCTGTCCAACTCTACACCAGAGCAGTGGCATATGGGTGCGTGTGTGTGCATGTGTTTGTGCTCAGTCCTGTCTGACTCTTTGTGCTGGAGCAGTGGAATATGGGTGTGTGTGTGTGTGTGTGCTCAATCATGTCTGACTATTTGCACAGGAGCAGTGGCATATGGGTGTGTGTGCTCAATAGTGTCCGACTATCAGTGGTGGAAGAGTGGTGTATGGCTATGTGTGTGTGCTTTTGTGTGTGTGTGTGTGTGTTCGGTTGTGTATGACTCTGTGCCAGAGCAGTGGCATATGGGGGTGTGTGTGTGCGCATGCATGCTCAGTTATATCTGACTCTTTGCCAGAGCAGTTGTGTGTGTGTGTGTGTGTGTGTGTGTCTGTGTGTGTCTGTGTGTGCTCAGTCATGTTTGGCTCTGCACCGGAGCAGTGGTGGATGGTTGTATGTGTTTTTGTGTGTGCATGCTCAGTCGTGTCCAACTCTTTGCTCCAGAGCAGTGGTGTATGCGTTTGTGCCTGTGTGTGTGCGTGCTCAGGCATGTCTGACTCTATGTGCTGGAGCAGTGGTGTATGGGTGTGTGTGTGCATGTTTGTGCATGCTCAGTTGTGTCCAACTCTTTGTACCAGAGCAGTGGTGTATGGGTGTGTGTGTGTGTGTGTGTGTGTGTGTGTATGTGCTCAGTCGTGTCCAAGTCTTTGCACAGGAACAGTGGCTTCATAAACAATCTGTGCTGTTGGCAATAGATGTAAATCCCATTGCTATTGCAACTTTTGTAGCCGATTCAGCCTTTTGATCAACTCTTGATTTTGCTATTTGGCTTCAAAACTATTCATTGACCTAATGTGCATTTGTCTCCTGTAATTTTTTCTTATCATCATGATAATGGGTGTTTATTGCAGCAACTAACAGTTCACCAAAGTTAAGCAGATTAATTTCCCCTCACTATATATATTTTTAAAGTTTCCTGAAGATTATTCTCAACAGGACCCATATTAGATTCTGGGACAGTATATATAATCCAGCCCTGCGCTAGGATGTAACATGTACCAGGATTAACTTTTCAAAGCCTGAAGGTTAAGCAATAATTACCAATGTGAAGTGTGCATGGAACCAAACAGGGGCACTTGAATCAGTACCAGCATAACTGAAAGATTCAGTCCAAAGACTGAAATCATGCCAAAGCAGAAATAAAAAGGTTGCAGAGGAAACTGCACAGAAAGAGGAATGAAGCAGACCTAAAGATAAAAAATATAGCAGAGAATCTCATTCTTCATAACCTTAAACATGGCATGGACATGTTTGCTAAGTTGTTTCAGTCGTGTCCAAGTCTGTGCAACTCTGTGGACTGTACCTGCCAGGCTCCTCTGTCCATGAGATTCTCCAAACAAGAATACTGGAGTGGGTTCCTATGCCCTTTTCCAGGGGATCTTCCCCACCAAGAATGGAACCCATGACTCCTGTATTGCAGGGAGATTCTTTACCACCTGAGCCACCAGAGAAGCCTGCCAAACATGGCACAGCAACTGGCACATATTAGGCATTGAAGCTGAGTATATATGTTTGTTGAATAAGTAAATCTTACTTTACAGGGTCAGTCTGTCACTCTAATCCACTAGCATATTTATTAAGCTCCCTCTTCAGTACCTGTCCTACTGCTGTGCATATGAAGATGCTGCGTAATGGATAAGTGCTACGGATTAAGTTGTTTTAGAATGATAGTTTATAGGTGGTTTGGAAAGCAAGGAGAACTTTTGAACTGATAAACAGCAAGGAATCATTGTATGTTCTTCAGTAGGAAAACAAGATAATGAAACTTACCTTTTGAGGGGCTGTAAAAGTCAGTTAATTAATTAATGGTTATAACCTTGAGGCAGGAAAGCAGAAAGCTGTTGCAGTAAACCAGGTACAAGGCTGTTGGGAAGTGGACTCAAGAAGAAAAAGCAGTAAGAAATTAAAAGGTGTAAACCACAAAGTCAGACTTAGGGAGACAAAGCTCCTTACTGAACCGTCATGGAATGATACTTTTCTTGAGCGAGGCACAATGACAAAATGTTTAATACCTTGGTCTTCAGAGTCAAACAAACCTGATTTCAAATCCCAGCCCTTCCACTGAACTACTTGTATGACCTTGAGCATGTTACTTACCTTCTTGAGTCTTACCCATTTATTTAACAAGTATTTTCCATAACTTGGTATGTGCCAGCTACTGTGCTGGGTCTTAGGGAGACACTGATGAGCAGAATCAATGCAATCACAATCCTCATTAACTATGGAACAAATAGGGTAAACAGGCGTTCAGTATCACCTACCATGTTAGTACCAGGTGGCTCAGTGGTAAAGCATCTGCCTGCAATGCAGAAGAAGTGGGTTTGACCCCTGGGTTGGGAAGATCCCCTGGAAGAGGAAATGGCAACCCACTCCAGGTTTCTTGCCTGGAGAATCCCATGGACAGAGGAGCCTGGTAGGCCACAGTCCATGGGGTTGCAAAGAGTCAGACACGGCTGAGTGACTTAGCACGGGCATGCACAAATTTTACTACTTGAAATGAAGAAAATGTTTCCTGGTTTTCTTTATCATGTCTCTGAGATTTGATTGCATTTGGATTTCAGGTAAAGTTACCAATTTTGGTTTTGAAATTTTTTTTCTCAGTCTGTGTTTTAATGCTTGTCACTGTCTCTAATTTAGATCTGATTCAGTACATAAATGGAACAAATATGAGTGTTGTCCATCTGGCTGATATTCTTTCTGAGAAAACTGGTAGCAGCAGCTGGGTGGTGGTGTTCAAAGCCCTGGTTACTGTCCATCATCTCATGGTGTATGGAAATGAGGTGAGCATGGCGTCTATTCCTTCCTTTTAGTACAAAGGACTGTCAGGACACAATTGCTGAATATGCTCAGTGTGTTAGGGGCTTACTACATTTTGCTTTCATTCATGACAAGTGGGGAAAGTACATGGAAGTAGATACGAAAACAACAATTTTTCCATTTTTACTTGTGAATTTCTCTTTGCAATCAGTATTTAATAAAGTATACCATTTTGCTAGTAGAGGAAGTAAGCCACGGAATGATATTTAGAGTCCAATATAATTTCTATAAATGTTAAAAATTCATACCATATTTGTCCATGTGACAGGTATATATATGAAACTATAAAGAGAATAGGATGCAAGGATAGCACATGAAAATTTTGATAATGTTTCCTTCCAGGTAGGAGAAGTAAATTGAACTTGAGGATGGGACAAAGGCCACTATTAACTTTATCTGTAAGGCCTTATGCCTCTTATTTTAAAATAGAGTTGAAGAGACCTCCCTGGTGGTCCAGTCGTTAAGAATCTGCCTTGCAATATAGGGGATGAGAGTTCAATCCCCGGCTGGGAAACTAAGATCCCACATGCCATGGGCCAACTGAGCGTGCACCACAGCTAGAGAGTTGGTGTGCCATAACAAAAGATCCCGTGTGACAAAATGAAGATCCATTGTGCTGCACCTAAAACCTAACTCAGCCAAATAAATAAATAAATGATAAATAAATTCCTGCCAAAAACTAGAACTGAAGGAGATATGTGCAAAAGTTAGCAGTTGCCATTTCTGGGCAGTGGGGTCCAGAGATGTATCAAAGTATTCTTTTTATTTTTCTATTAATTGAATTGTTAAATAATTTAACATGAGTGATCAAAATAATTAATCCTATAATTGCCACTGACCCTTGAATATCTCAGGTTTGAACTGCACAGGTCCTCTTGTATGTGGCTTTTTTCCATCATAAGTACTACAGCACTACAGTATCCATGCTTGGTTGACTCCATAGGCATGGATGGAATCACAGTTACAGTGGCATGGCATCTACAGATAGCTGACTGTAAATTATATGTGGGTTTTATTCCCTGGTGGCTCAGCTGGTAAAGAATCACCTGCAATGTGGGAGACCTGGGTTTGATCCTTGGATTGGGAAGATCCCCTGCAGAAGGGAAAGGCTACCCACTCCAATATTCTGGTCTGGAGAATTCCATGCACTGTATATATAGTCGATGGGGTTGCAAAGAGTCTGACATGACTGAGCAACTTTCACTTTATATACTATGAATTATATGGGAATTTTTGACTGCATGGTGGGTCAGTGTCCCTAACTCCTGAGGTGTTACTGATAGAAAGGCATGGGTGAAAAGTGTGTACTCACATTAGCTTTAATGTTTAACCCCTTGTTTATTTGGGGGGTATGTCAACAGACTTGGCAGCACTGCAGATCCTTATGTTGGCTAGCCCAGGGTGTGATGGTGCTCACCTTAATCAATGCCCCTGAAATAGAAGATATGTATGATAGAATTATGTTAAGTATGTATTCACAGAGAAAAAATCATGAATGAACTCTATTTGTGAACCAAAACTAATTTTGAGAATTTGGCACACTTGTTTGACAGCGTTTTATCCAACATCTTGCATCGAGAAGTTCTTTGTTCACTTTACACAACTTTCTGGATAAAAGTGTCATAGAAGGTAAGATGATTCTTTGATGGAAATATTTCTTTGTGGCAAGGAGGGAAATGTTCTAGAAACCATGCCTAGTTTAAAAAAAATGGTTCTGAATGATGAAGGGTGTAATGTGGTGTACGTTTTATGATGGAAGGTAGTTTCTAAATTCATTGACACAACACATATGCAGGTATTTACTCAGTGAAGCTTTCCTGGCTCAGTCTCCCAAAAATCATGGTCCCTTTATCCCTTCTCTGCCTGAGTTTTATTCTTTCCACTTCTCAGCAACTAAACATCTCTGTATTTTTCTTTTCTTTTGCTTGTCTATCAATCACCATTGGAGTATAAGATCCGTGTAGGCAGGTTTTTTTTTTTTTTTTTTTTTTTGCGGGAAGGAGGGTGGGTCTGTATTGTTCAATCCTGAACCTACAGCATCATAGTGAACACTGAATAATTGTTAAGTGAATAAGTAAATTGAATAAATGAATCAAGGCCCATAGTGAGCAGTTGAGTTTCTGTCATGACCTTTCTCTTTACATTTTGTCTATGAAGTAGGAGCAAAGTCATTTGTTGAGTGAAAGGAAGACTGGAACGATGGTAACAAGGGGATAGGGGGTGTCAGGAAAATGTTAAGGATTTATAATAGTGTTTGTGAAAATGTGAAAGGAACTAATAAAGTTCAGTTATTTCTCTGGTTCAGAAATGTCACCATCAATACCATATCCAAAGGCGATATCAACACTTTGAGGAAGGGCTGGTGCACTGGGATGACCCTGAGGGATGGGATGGGGAGGGAGGTGGGAATGGGGTTCAGGATGGGGAACACTTGTACACCCATGGCTGATTCATGTCAATGTATGGCAAAAACCACCACAATATTGTAAAGTAATTAGCCTCCATTAAAATTAAAAATAAATAAATAAGCATAAACTCATTTTAAAAGTAATATTTAACAGAAAGTTTTAGGAATACTGTACTCGGTGAGTAATAAAAGCCATTCTGGTGTTTTATGTTTCAAAGATATTGTTGAGGGATATGCGTGAATGTGGAATGATAAATCTTTGCGTTTGTTGATGTATGTTGTAAATGGTTAACATTGGTTAAACTGGAAATAATAAAAAGTATTTCATTTTTAGGCTATACTATGTCACCTTTCATCAGACGATATAGCAAGTACTTGACTGAAAAGTCACTCGCATATAGACTGATGGAGTCAGACATCACCAAAACCAAGAGAGGGTAGGTAAATATTGTTAGTTTGTAAGCAAGAAGTACTGCAGTATATATCTGTTCTGATATGTAGTTTAGCAAAAACGCAGCTATTTTTCAAGATGCCGATGTCACAGTGCTTCTCAAACTCTTAATTAGCATTGATGTTATGAACTTCTTTTATCTTTTATAGGACAGATGGTGTGATGAGAACTATGAACACTAAGGAGCTGCTGAACACTCTTCCAGTTATTCAAGTTCAGTTTGACGCTCTTCTGAATTTTAATGTAAGAGGTTTATAAATCCTTTTTTAAAAAAAATATTGTTAAGCAGCATTGTTTGACTGTAGGTGGGAGAGGGAAAAAAGTGTGGTGGTAATCAATTCCTCTTTAATTTCCAGGCAAATGCTGATGATCTAACTAATGGTATAATACATGCTGCTTTCATGCTCCTCTTTAAGGATTCTCTTCGCCTCTTTGCAGTCTATAATGAGGGGATCCTTAATCTGCTAGGTAAGCTAAAATAAACATGACTTTTTAAAACCTAAATTGGCAAAAATACTTTATTTGTAAAAACCCTTTATATCTACATTTAGATTCATCTGTGTTTTAGGTTCAAAACATAAGATCTTTACAAGGTCATACATATTTACATAATTAGACATCATATTGCTTTTTTTTAAGCTTACTGTTTATTAAGCAATATACATTATAAATTGGCACTTATTTTAATTGAAAATTATTGTGTTTACTTTTTAAAATGTACAGTTCAGTAGTTTTTAGTATAGTCACAGTTATGCAATTATCACTACTGTCTAATTCCAGAATATTTTCATCATCACCAAGCCCCTTACCCATTAGTAGTCAGTAATTACTTATGCCTTCTCCCAATCCCTAGGAAATGCCTCTATTGATTTACCTATTTTCATTTCATAATAACAGAATTATATGTGGTCTTTTGTATCTGACTTCTTTCATTTAGCATAATATTTTCAAGGTTCATCCACATGATAGCATATATTACTACTTCATTCTCCACTCAGCCCTGTTATAAACATCTTTATTTTTTTTTCTTTTTCATTTATTTTTATTAGTTGGAGGCTAATTACTTTACAGTATTGTAGTGGTTTTTGCCATACATTGACATGAATCAGTCATGGATTTACATGTGTTCCCCATTCCGATCCCCCCTCTTGCCTCCCTCCCCATCCGATCCCTCTGGGTCTTCCCGGTGTACCAGCCCTGAGCACCCGTCTCATGCATCCAACCTGGGCTGGTGATCTGTTTCACCTTTGATAGTATACTTGTTTCAATGCTGTTCTCTCTGAACATCCCACCCTCGGCTTCTCCCACAGAGTCTAAAAGTCTGTTCTGTACATCTGTGGCTCTTTTAGAACTTGTCAATTTGTATATAAGTGCTAACTGATATTTCTGGGAAATTTATTGGGAAATTAACATGGATTGCCATATTTATTCATTACACAGTAAGTCCCACTCAACTAACATCAAATAGTACAATTCTAACTTTCCTAAGATACAGCCTACAAATTATTGTTTTGATCATATACAAGCAAATGTTTCTTAGGCTTTTTAGGAAATTTCAGTCATCATTTAGCCCTAACCAGTTTTGTTGTTGACAATTTGAGATAATTTTTACATTTAGGAAGTGCCTGATACATTTGTTGAGTTATAAAGAGTAGGAAATACAGCCCCTCTATCAGAGACCATCAGAACCTGATGTTAATCAAAAAAGATTCCAGACTAGAATTTGTAGAAATTAAACTAAACTATCTAAATTATGTGTATGCTATTAAATGCCATATATATTACCAGCACCAGTGTCCGGCATGCAGTAGTTCCTGTATAAAAAAATCTGTTGGTTATACTTAGATGTGCAGTGTTGTTGTTTGTTAAAGCAAAACATTACTGGATTAAAACTGTAGTTGTTTTCAAGAAGTTAAAATCATTTCCAGAATTAACAGAATCATCAGAAAGGAATGAAACTTGGGACTGCTACAATACTGGCTACTTTGTCATTTTTTTTCTATTTTTAGAGAAATATTTTGACATGGGGAAGAGGCAATGCAGGGAAAGTTTGGATATTTACATCAAGTTCCTGGAAAGAATGACCAAACTGGGACGGTTCCTTAAAGTTGCAGAGGTACAGAAATCTATTTCTAGCCACGGCTCTTGTGCTATTTTCTGTATTAGTTTAGTATCCTGTACAACTATCCCTCCACCCCACAATCACTGTCACACAAACAGAAATGGGTAGTTTTAACTATTTTGTAAACAGTACAACTAAAAATTAGGAATAGATACTTCAAATGTACCCTCCAATGCACTTGTGATCAAAAACAATCTTACAATGATTTCTATTCTGTGACTTGAGGATAATTTATACCAAGCTTACCTTCCCACCAGAAACAGCTCTAAAACCAGTGAGAGAAGGAAACATATGAGGTGGGCCACAGGTTTGCCCTAGTAGCTATTTCTGAGTATTTGAAAAGTTAGAACACATTTGTATGATATCCAAAATGAAGCCAAGCTCTTCACAAAACAACAAAGACTCAAAATCTGGCAGGTCTTTTTAAATTTTATTTTAAGAGCAAATATAAGTTTATGCTTAAGTGTGCAAGGCATTCTTTTGTGGTGGTTGCTCAGTCGCTGTTATGTCTGATTGTTTGCGACCCCATGGACTATAGCCCACCAAGCTCCTCTGTCCAGAGGATTTCCCAGGCAAGAATACTGGAGTGGGTTGCCATTTCCTCCTCCAGGGGATCTTCTGACCCAGATATCGAACCTGTGTCTCTTGCATTGTCAGGCGGATTCTTTACCGCTAAGCCACCTGGGAAGCCCCACAAGACATACATTAGCCTGCCATTTTTCTTGATCTGGGTGTGTACTAGCCCAGCAAGGCACTCTTGCTCTTGGAGTCCTTTCTTTTTAGTATACAAATTGGTCTCACACTTAGTTTTCTTTGTTAACACTCCTGGCTGTAATGTTTTCTTTTTCCCCTTTTCTTCTGATTTCAGCAAGCTGGAATTGACCAGAATAACATTCCATATCTTCCTCAGGTCAGTACATCTCTTGTCTGTCTTTAAGTGGCTTTTTGTCTTTGTTCTGTGTTTATTAATCATCATCTGAGATGTCATTTTCTGTATGGTTGCATGTGTATTTTCATTTCCCTGAGAGTAACATTTATATTTCTACTTATATATACATAGACTTGTGTCTTTGAAACAGGTCTTTGAGCCATAGGTCTTACAAAAGAGGTCGTTCCCCACTGAGTGCAAATGGTGACTTATAGTATAACAACTCCAACATGCTTTTTCAGTGGACAGAACTGATCAGTGAAAATAGCAAGGCATTCTTTACATCTGTGTCCCTTTGCTGTCTCACATATAGGGTCATCATTACCATCTTTCTAAATTCCATATATATGTGTTAATATACTGTATTGGTGTTTTTCTTTCTGACTTACTTAGCTCTGTATAATGTAAAGAACAGACTGGTCGACTCTGTGGGAGAAGGTGAGGGTGGACTGATTTGAGAGAATAGCATTGAAACATGTATATTATCATATGTGAAATAGATCGCTAGTCCAGGTTTGATGCATGAGGCAGGGTGCTCAGAGATGGTGCACTGGGAGGACGCTGAGGGATGGGATGGGGAGGGAGGTGGGAGGGGGGGTCAGGATGGGGAACACATGTACACCCATGACTGATTCATGTGAATGTATTCATTCACATATACACCACATTATTGTACATTCACATATACACCACAATATTGTAAAGTATGGCAAAAACCACTATAATATTCACATATACACCACATTCACATATACATTCACATATACACCACAATATTGTAAAGTATGGCAAAAACCACTATAATATTATAAAGTAATTAGCCTCCAACTAATAAAAATAATGGGGAAAAATAAAATAAATACAGAGTCTAAAAAAATAAATAAAATTAGAAAAAATTTAAAAAAAAGAAAATAGCAAGGTATTGGGAACAGTGAGTTTAGGCTTGAGGCTGCGTTATCTGCCTTTCACGTGTGTCATCTCAAGCAACTCATTTGTATTCTCCATGCCTCCTTTATGCAAATGAAGAATGAGGGCGACACTATTGCCTGCCTTACAGCAGAGTTGTGAGCATCAGATGAGCTCAGGCTTTTTCCTTCTCCCAAAGTCTCTCATCAGGAATCCCTCACGTGGCAGGCAGTGCAGGTGAGGGTGAAATGCGGGTCTGGTAGGCTGCTCATGCAGCCCATGGGTGCCCTCTTGACCTGCCTGCTCTCCGTCCCGCGTATGTCATAGGGTTTGAGCAGCAGAGGTTGCAGGCCCAGCCTGCTGACCCGCTCTGAGACCCAGACTAACATGGCAAGCTACTTTAGGTCACTTGGAATATGAGCCAAAGCAGTCTTTCCTGGTCTCCAGATCTCTAAGAGACCTCCCAGTACTCATGTTTCCTTTTTCATGGTGAGACGTGTGAGATACAACACTTTGTCTTCTATTTTGAATGAGATTTCCTGGTGGACCCCTGGCCACTGATGCTCTAAAAGTTTTACTGCTATGGAAGGCTCCTGAATCTTTGTAGGGTTGACCTTCTATTGGAGTGCATATCACTTTCCAAGTTCCCCTTTCTGCTCATCTGGTCCATTTAGCATGACATCATGAATGGAAGTAGATCAGCGCAATATTCTGAGGGGTGACCAGAGGGACTAAACTCTTTCTGACCATATTCTGACCAACATATGGGTTGAGAGAGTTAACACAGCCTGGACCGGATCATAAATGTATAGCATTGTTCATTTCATCTGCCACAAACTCTTACTGATTCATAATTTAGATGACATGGAAAGCACAGCACTCACTAAACTGTTAGCCGCATACCGTGTTCCTGAGACTACATTAATCTACATCTACTGAAGAGCTATGACAAACCTAGATACACTTTGCTGACAAAGGTTTGTAGAGTCAAAGGTTTGGTTTTTTCCAGTAGCCATGTATGGATGTGAGAGTTGGACTATAGAGAAGGCTAAGCACCGAAGAATTGATGCTTTTGAACTGTGGTATTGGAGAAGACTCTTGAGAGTCCCTTGGACTGCAAGGAGATCCAACCAGTCCATCCTAAAAGAGATCAGTCCTGGGTGTTCATTGCAAGGACTGATGTTGAAGCTGAAACTCCAATACTTTGGCCACCTCATGAGAAGAGCTGACTCATTTGAAAAGACCCTGATGCCGGGAAAGTTTGAAGGCAAGAGGAGAAGGGGATGACAGAGGATGAGATGGTTGGATTGCATCACTGACTCAATGGACACGAATTTGAGTAAACTCTGGAAGTTGGTGATGGACAGGGAGGGCTGGCATGCTGTGGTTCATGGGGTCTCAAAGAGTCAGACATGACTGAGTGACTGAACAACAGCAACAAAAACCAAAGAAACTATAGTGGCTGCAACTGGGTTACACTTGATTGATTATGCTGCAGTTTGTCATTCCCCAGGGCCTATTTTGGGGGCCATACTGGTGAATTATATAGATATACAGTAGGGACCATCACCCCTGCATCCTCTTTACCTTTAAGATGGGCACGGATTTCTGCAATCTTCCTAGGAAGTGATCTCGTTTATTTTTACTGTTTTGACTGGACTATAGGTGGAGGCATGTCCCCAGCTGGCAATGCTGTGACTTAACTGTAGTTAGAGGCCTAGAGGCCAGGAAGGGGGTGGGGACATATCCTGATGAGACATGTAACTTGGGGGGGGGGTAGTGGTCTCCATATCATCTCCAGCAAGGGAGGAGGAGGAAGCTTCTTCAGGTTCAGAGCCTTCTGGGGAATCTGGGGATTCAGAAGTTCCACAGCCATTCCCCAGGTCTCCCCATCCCATAAGTCAGGTCCTTAACTAGCACGACCTGCTGCCTAACTCTGGTGTTGCAGACCTGCCTTGGTTGAGACTGGAGGAATGGGAGGTGGTCAGGCATGTGTGGGGGGAAGTTTGTGAAGAAAAAACCCAGTGGACCCAGCAGAGGCCTCCAGTTAGAAGGCAGAGGAGGTTGGGAGGACAGGATCATTGCAGCTGCAAGGAAATGTTGAGTTTGGTATCAGGAGAAGGAGGGAGTGTCTATCTGATAACTTTCAAAAACCTTTGAGGGAAACATATGTGTCCTCACAATCATTCCTTCATGTGTGGAGAGGTACCAAAGTGACCTATTTTCTGCACAGACATTGAACCCCATCAAATGGTCCACAATGGGAACCACTGTTGGATGCAGTAAGGCACAGCTTCCCGAATGAGAATTCCACTAACCAGACAGAGAGACAATGAGAATGTCTGCATTAGTAGAGGAGAAGATGGGGTTTCATTGCCCAGAGTCACGATAATTAGTGGATTGCAATCAACAGGCCTTCACAGACACAGGTCTGGCCCCTCCCAGGAGGGAGATATCATGAATGAGATAGTCCTAACCCCTGCCAGAGAGAAAAGAAAGACTATGGAGACATGACTCGATATCTCCCCAGATATCATCCTCTTGACTTTCTGCACCTTGACCTCCCTTCCTTGAGGGTGGTGGCAAAGGTGGGAACGGTTCCCATGCTGAGAATTGCACAGCCCAACATGGCAGCACAGACCAGCTTCAGTTGAACTGGGCTTTGGCTTCTTGGCCTTGGCCCCCTTCAGTGCTCAGTGCCTGCGGCCGGAGCTCTGGAGGGGGGAGGGCATCTGGACAAGACAGCCCCCGGTTAGAGGTCCTTCTTTCCCATGAGACCCCCCTCTGTTCTCCTTACCTCTGCTCTGCCTGGTTCCTAGGATCCCCAGGACCCCTGAGTCAAAAACCAAAATCGATGGCTGGGGGAGAGACCGCAGAAGTCAGGCAAGGCTCTTTGTTGTTCAAGTGTCACACAGGTCTCCACTCCTTGCTCTGTGAATCAGCTGCTTTTACTGCAAGAGCTTCCTTATCAGCACGCTGGCTTTAGGCCCTTAGCCAGCACAGAGAGTCATCTGTCCTGGCCTTGGGCCGGCTGAGCTGCTTGCTGGGCACGTGCTTTCCGGGGTGTTCTGGAAAGCCTGGGATGGACTAAGACGCAGGGCTCTCTGGGATGGGAGGGAGGTGGGGAGTCACTTGATCTTTTAATTCCCTGGCTACTCTGATGACATCTTGATTAAAAGTTCAAGATGAGGTCTTCCTTCCTTCCTCCTCTTTGCCCCCTCAGTCAGCCCCCTTGAGAGAGGTCCATGCACCCTTGGGAGGAGCATTTGCAGTCAGTCTTGATGCTCAACCCCTGCAAGGTTGCAGAGGTCTTCCTCTGCACCTCTGCGTCGCTTGGCCAGTTTCTCTCATGATTCCGACCATCTTGACTTTACGTGGAGGAAGGGAAATGTTAAGTGCACGCTCCCCATGTTCAGGCTCAGTCAAACTCTTTGGTTTTCTGAAGAGGCGTCTCCCTCACTTCCTTGGCTGATCTTTCGTCCTCGGTCTCTACCCCATCTTGGGCTCATGGAGTATCCTTCCGTGAGTGGCTGTCCGGTGTGTCTGTCTAGGTCTACCCCTTTTCTTGCCACCCTTCTCTGCTCTTTCATTCATGTTGGGTTCAACTCCCACAAAACTCACACATCGGCTGCTCTGCTTGTGATTCCGTGCATTTTCATTTTTCAGCCAAGTGCTTTAAACCTTTAAACCTTTAAACCTAAGGGCCGCACCCCTTAGCAGAGTTCCAGGAGCCCAAACTCTGGGGGACCTACCATATGGAGTGGCCCTGGTTTTGGTGGGCGGGGGGCTACTGGGTGCTTCCCAGAAGAGCTCTGACAGCCTCCCGCCTACCCTTTTGCTGGAATCATCGGAAAGCAAATTGAATGAAAAAAGAATGTTTCCAACCCACATTGTGCAAGGAATGGCAACTTCTCTCTGTTTATGATTTTGTCATGTGTTTGTTGAATGACTGATCCAGAAATGCTTTGTGCCTTTGCCGTACATGTGTGTTTGTCCTGCTGATGTTGGCAGTCCCCTGATCATTTTGGGGTCCCTCTCCCTCTTTTTTCCCCATCGTGTATGTTTGAACATTTGAAGTTCATCCTGGACTCCAGACCTCCTGGTCTCCCTGCTGCTGAGGAGCCTGTGGCCTCTGGCTTGGGACAGACTCTCCAATTCCTTTGTGCCGAGAGTGCCCACATGTTTAAGAGGCATCTGTGGGGAAGTCTTCTCCTTGTCCCCATATTTGGTGTGATGGGAAATTCCTCTGAACAGATTTCTGCTTAGCTGCATCATCCCAGCAGCCCATCCATACTGAGTGATACCCAGCCTCCTCTGAGTCTTCTCAGACTCATGTGTTTGATGCTTTTCTTTTCTTTTCTTTTCTTTAATTATTTTTTAAAAAAAATTTTAATTGGAGGATAAGTGTTGCCCTTCTTGGTAACTTGTGTGCCATTATCCCTATTCCTCTCAGAATGGTCCCTTAGCCCTGGCACACCTCTGTGAACACTTCCTTCATTAAACCCTTTTCCAGCTGCTAGTTCAGCCGCATTGGGGTCAATCTCTGCCAGCGTCAACTCAAGAACGTAGCTTCAACTCATCTCCACTGCTCCACGTCCATGTACTTTGCCCCCTGCTGATTGTTTTATACAATGCAACCATGATGCTGGTCTGAGAACTTTCACATTACAGATCTGATCATTTCACTCCTCACTTCAAAGTCGTCCAGCAGTCATCCAGTATTCTCAAGTTGTTTAGGTTTGTCATAGCTTTCCTGCCAGGAACAATTGTCTTCTAATTTCATGACTGCAGTCACCCTCTGCAGTGATTTTCAGTTCAGTTCAGTTGTTCAAAGAGGCGTGTCCACACCAAGGAAACCAGATCTGAAAGAGACACGTGCACCCCAATGTTCATCGCAGCACTGTTTATAATAGCCAGGACATGGAAGCAACCCAGATGCCCATCAGCAGACGAATGGATGAGGAAGCTGTGGTACATATACACCATGGAATATTACTCAGCCATTAAAAAGAATTCATTTGAATCAGTTCTAATGAGATGGATGAAACTGGAGCCCATTATACAGAGCGAAGTAAGCCAGAAAGATAAAGACCATTACAGTATACTAACACATATATATGGAATTTAGAAAGATGGTAACGATAACCCTATATGCAAAACAGAAAAAGAGACTCAGATGTATAGAACAGACTTGTGGACTCTGGGAGAAGGCGAGGGTGGGATGTTTCAAGAGAACAGCATTGAAACATGTATATTATCTAGGGTGAAACAGATCACCAGCCCAGGTTGGGTGCATGAGACAAGTGCTCGGGCCTGGTGCACTGGGAAGACCCAGAGGGATCGGGTGGAGAGGGAGGTGGGAGGGGGGACTGGGATGGGGAATACATGTAAATCCATGGCTAATTCATTTCAATGTATGACAAAAACTACTGTAATGATGTAAAGTAATTAGCCTCCAACTAATAAAAATAAATGGAAAAAAAAAAAAACAAAGAGGCGTGTCCAACTCTTTGCAACCCCATGGACTGCAGCACACCAGGCTTCCCTGTCCATCACCAACTACCGGAGTTTACTCAAACTCATGTCCATTGCATCGGTGATGCCATTCAGCCATCTCATCCTCTGTCGCCCTCTTCTCTTCCTGCCCTCAATCTTTCCCAGCATCAGGGTCTTTTCAGATGAGTCAGTTGTTTGCATCAGGTGGCCAAAGTATTGGCGCTTCAGCTTCAGCATCAGTCCTGCCAATGAAGTGATGGGACCAGGTTCCATGATCTTTGTTTTCTGAATGTTGAACTTTAAGCCAACTTTTTCACTCTTCTCTCTCACTTTCATCAAGAGGCTCTTTAGTTCTCTTCACTTTCTGCCATAAAGGTGGTGTCATCTGCATATCTGAGGTCATTGATATTTCTCCTGGCAATCTTGATTCCCGCTTGTACTTCATCTAGCCCAGCCTTTCACATGATGTACTCTGAATATGTTAAATAAGCAGGGTGACAATATACAGCCTTGATGTACTCCTTTCCCACTTTGGAACCAGTCCGTTGTTCCATGTCTGGTTCTAACTGTTGCTTTTTGACCTGCATGCAGGTTTCTCAAGAGGCAGGTCAGGTGGTCTGGTATTCCCATCTCTTGAAGAATTTTCCATAGTTTGTTGAGATCCACACGGTCAGAGGCTTTGGCATAATCAATAAAGAAGAAGTAGATGTTTCTCTGGAACTCTCTTGCTTTTTTGATAATCCAGCAGGTGTTGGCAATTTGATCTCTGGTTCCTCTGCCTTTTCAAACTCCAGCTTGAACATATGGAAGTTGGGCAGTGATTTTATTTATTTATTTATTTATTTTTAGGGGGCAGTGATTTTAGAGCCCAAGAATAGGAAATCTGTCACTATTTCCGCCTTTTCCTCTTCTATTTGCCATGAAGTGATGGGGCTGGATGCCATGATCTTAATTATTTTAATATTTAGTTTTAAGCCTAGACAGTGTGTTAAAAACCAAAGACATAACTTTGCTGACAAAGGTCCAAATAGTCAAGGCCATGGTCTTTCAAGTAATCATGTACAGTTGTGAGAACTGGACCTTAAAGAAGGCAGAGTGCTGAAGAATTGATGCTTTTGAACTGTGATGCTGGAGAACACTCTTGAGAGTCTCTTGGACTGCAAGGAGATCAAACCAGTCAATCTTTTTTTTTTGTTTTTTGTTTTTTGTTTTTACAATATTGTAGTGGTTTTTGCCATACATTGATATGAATCAGCCATGGATTTACATGTGTTCCCCATCCTGAACCCCCCTCCCACCTCCCTCCCCATCCCATCCCTCTGGGTCATCCTAGTGCACCAGCCCTGAGCACTTGTCTCATGCATCAAACCTGGACTGGCGATCTGGTTCACATTTGATAATATACATGTTTCAAACCAGTCAATCTTAAAGGAAATCAACCCTGAATACTCATTGGAAGGACTGACACTGAAGCTGAAGCTCCAATACTTTGGCCGCCTGATGCAAATAGCTGGATCATTGGAAAAGACCCAGATGCTGGGAAAGATTGAGGGCAGGCAGAGAAGAGGGCAACAGAGGATGAGATGGCTGGATGGCATCACCGATACAATGGACATGAACTTGGGCAAACTCTGGGAGATAGTAAGTGACAAGGAAGCCTGACATGCTGCAGTCCATGGGGTCTCCAAGAGTTGGACCCGAATTGGTGACTGAAAAACAACAACAGTTTTCAAGTTAATGTCCAACTGCCACAATGTTGACATGAGTTTAAGGTCTTAGACCATCGAAAACCCTCCCAGTTTCATCTCCTCCACACACCCCTTGGCTCTCCCTGCCCTGGCAACGTAGTTCACCTTTATTTGTGGCTTGTGCCATATGCCCGCTTGTCATGCTCATTAATTTCATACCATCCGACTTTTCTCCCTCAGCTCTCAGCTCAGCTGTTATGTTGTTCAGCTTGCTTCTCTGCCATGCCTCACTTGATCAGATTCACCTAAACACCAAGTATCATGTACCTCTCTTTCATAGTACTTTTCACAGCTTTCATTTGACATTTGTTCATTTGATTATTTGATATCTCTCCTCTCCCACACCCCAAGTCGTGAGGCCTGCTGTATTCCTTGTGCCTGGTGTCTAGTAGTTTATTAACAAACTCTTCTTGAGAAGTGAATGGTTGGATCAGGGGAGACATGCCGGGACACACAGAACGCTGGTTGGGAATTGACCTTATGTAAGAAGCACACTTCTCCCATCTTTAATTGGAGTGGAAAATGAAAGGGTGCATCCACATTCATTTGGCAGATACCAATTAAGCAGTTACTGTATGCCAAACACTGAGATTCATCAGTGAACAGACAGACAAAATTGCTGTCTTTTTCAGTTCAGTTCAGTTCAGTCACTCAGTCGTGTCTGACTCTTTGCGACCCCGTGGACTGCCGCATGCCAGGCCTCCCTGTCCATCACCAACTCCCGGAATTTACTCAAACTCATGTCCATCAAGTCAGTGATGCCATCCAACCATCTCATGCTCTGTCGCCCCCTTCTCCTCCTGCCTTCAATCTTTCCCAGCATCAGGGTCTTTTCCAATGAGTCATCTCCGCATCAGGTGCGAAGTATTGGAGTTTCAGCTTCAACATCAGTCCCTTAGAGTTTTATATTTTACTGCACAGAGACAGGCAATAAACATACACAGAATGAAACCTATAATTTCAAGGATGATAATTGCCATGAAGAAAAAGAAAAGGTGGTGATGGTAAAGAGATTGTTGGTAGGTACTGTTTTCTCTAGGACACCCAAGGAAATCCTGGTTGAGGAGGTGACATTCCAGGGGAGACTGGAGACCATGAATGAGCTTCTCTGTTCCCTGCTGTGTTTCTATGTCTCTCTGTTTTCTTCTCACCTCCTCTCCCTCTTCACCACTAGGCTTAATGTTTTACTGAAATTTATCTAATAATCTAGTGACTCATGAAAGAACCATAAGTAATGAAGAATTTCAAGCCCAGTGTCTTTTCCAAAGGAGACAGATATTTTAGCAGCTGTTTGATCATCTTAAGAGACTTTTTTGTTCTTTCTTTAAAAAGGTATGTAAAAGCATAGTCTGAAAATCTGATTTCATACCAAGGTGCTACTTTTAAGAATGAATTTACTTGTAGCAATGATTTTACTTTAATCATTTGCAGGACAGGTGTCCTAATTGTTTTTCAGAATCTTCTCATGATATAGGAGAGTCTGATTTTGCTAATAACTATCAAAAAACAACTTTTTCCTAATTATTTTTAGGCACCCTACAGTTTACTTGAAGCACTAAAACAGCATTTGGCTTCTCTGAAGAACAAACATGATATTCTACCTTCTTATGGGTAAGTTGATAAATCTCATAATATAGATAAATTTTGTTTTCATCTAAATAATTTGTCTCAGTTTAGCAACATCTGATTGACTAAAGAAATTTTGGGCTTTAAATATGGTGAAATAGTATACAGCCATTTTTAATGATAATATGGAATAGAGGTTTTCAGTCTTTTGTGGGATTCCATACACTTCACAGTGTCGTTTGCTTCCCAGAGGAACATCTTTTCTTATACTGAGTGATTCTCAAAGTCATAAGTTGGCCCTAGAAGAACCTTTCTTTGAAGAATTCGATTTCTTACCTTAGGCACTCTGCTAGGGAGAATTAACTGTTGTGGATGATTATTTAATGGTATGGCAAACTGTTTATCCACAAACATACATGTACTCCTCTACATACATACAAATTGAATAATATAAACTTTGAGGTGCATCACTTCAAAATATTCACATTAGCTATTTCTGAGTAGAATAATTATGGTTGATTTCAGCTTCCTGTTTTGTCCTTTTCAGCATTGTTCAAGATTTCTATCAGGGTCATATATTATTCATTCAGTCCACTTTTTAAGGTTATGTTAATTATATTTGATTTACACTATCAACCTCTACTAGACCAGTCTGTTGGCTATTAATTTTCTCTTTATTATAGGTGGGTATGTAGTTAGTATATAATAAGATGGATAGATTGATGGGTGGATAGATGAATAAATGAAAGAAATGCAGGCTCAGCCAGGTAGGATATTTGTATCTCTCTTGATTGCCTAGTATGACTCATTTTTCCTGTGATCTCTCTAGCATGCAGCGTGCATTGATTCCCTCCATACCAAACAATCCATTTGTGACAAACTCAGCAAGCAAAGTCTGGTTTTCAGGTGATATGACTCTGTTCTATGATTATGTCAGTGATAATTGAGGGCAGGATTAGAATATTTAATTCTTTAATTCCCTAACCGCTTACTATATCTGTTGCCTCTTCCTAAAGCAATCTTTGACCTAGCAACTTCATTTCTAGGAAGTTATCCCATATATATTCATAGTTGTGAAATGTCATATAAACAAGGATATACCTTACAATATTGCAATAACAAAATGACCCTCTATAAGGGGCACTGGAATGGAATGACCTCCAACATGTATTGTAAAATGCATGTATTTTCTATTGTTCAATAGAAAATGAGCAAGGTGGGAAACAGCGTATAGGATGCTACTGCTTATTCTTTTTAAAAACAAAAAAGAAAGCACATATATTTCTTTAATTTCTTAAAGAACATTTCTGGAAGGATATCTGAGAAGTGAATAAAATGGAAAGGGATGGGTGGGTAAGTCTTCACTGTATCCCTTTTTGTAATTTCTGAATTTTGTACCTGCAAATACTACTTAGAAGGCAAGTGTTAAAAAGTAAACACATGATACATACATAAATCAAGTGTGATGTCTGTACATGGAGCAAGTTTTGCTTACCAGGTAAGTCCAAAGGTTAGTTAGCCTTATACTCAGTGAGTATGCAAGATACAACTCAGACCAGCTCACAGGAGCCCAATTGCTATTGTCTTGGGAAATCTGGAAGCTAGTTAATGACATAGTGGTAACTTGAAATCGGCTGTGATGGAAGCATTTATACCACAGAAATAAATGGACAGACGTTACAAAACAGGCCTTTTCCTAGAGAGCTGGTTGTTGTACACTTACTGGTACATAACTGCACATGATCAGCCATATCCTGTTTCTTTTTTAATGGCTGATTGTATTTCAGTGATTTTACTTGGCCCTCTATGCTAGACAAAAATTCCTGTAGTTATGAGCTATACCCTCATGAGGTTTATATGTATTAAAATTTGCTTGCTCTTAATTTAACTTGAAGACTTAAACTGTCTATTTTAAATGATGTTTTTTATTTTTCTTTTGTATATATTTTCTCAATGGACACACTTTCTGCATTTTCAATGGGTGACTTTGACCAAAACTATGATGAACGTAAGTCCTTTGAGTAATACTATATATATAGTAAACATTTGCTCCATTTCCAAAAGAAGGACTTTTCTGAGGCCCTGTGGTTTGGGAATCATTAGTGCTTTTAAGAAGTTTAAACGTAAAACTGTTAGTCACTCAGTCATGGCTGACTCTTTGCGACCCCATGGACTGCAGCATGCCAGGCTTCCCTGTCCATCACCAACTCCTGGAGCTTGCTCAAACTCATGTCCATTGAGTTGGTGATGCCATCCAACCATCTTATCCTCTATCATCCCCTTCTCCTCCTGCCTTCAATCTTTCCCAGCATCAGGGTCTTTTCAAATGAGTCAGTTCTCCCCATCGAGTGGCCAAAGTATTGGAGTTTCAGCTTCAACATCAGTCCTTGCAATGAATATTCAGGACTGATCTCCTTTAGGATGGACTGGTTTGATCTCCTTGCAGTCCAAAGGACTCTCAAGAGTCTTCTCCAACACTACAGTTCAAAAGCATCAATTCTTTGGTGCTCAGCTTTCTTTATAGTCCAACTCTCACATCCATACATGACTACTGAAAAAACCATAGCTTTGACTAGATGGACCTTTGTCTGCAAAGTAATGTCTGCCTGAGTACCAACAGCCCAAAACTGGCTTCTGGTGATCTCTGCCCATGCTGTCTTGAGCACTTAGCCTTGGTTGCCTAATGCTCGTTGCTTGAGCCAGTTGTATTGTAAACCCTGTGGCCAGCTGAAACTACTTTTCCTCTTCAGTCACTGTGAAATAAAAATACTAGATGACCTCATCCAAGCCAATGGCCTTATATACCATTTACATGATAAGAACTCCCAGCTGCAGCCACTGCTCCTGAACTCCAGGTTTGTATATCCAAGCGTCCATTCTGTGGTAGTACTTGAACATCTAGTAGGGTTCCCAAACTCCATGAGTCCAAAACTAAGCTTTTGACCCTTGACCCCAAGCCTCCTTTATCTATGGTTTTCCCCCACGTCAAGTTAATGGCAAATAGTGACTCATTTCTTCTAGGAAGAATGTGACTAGGACCAATGCAACTCAGGCTTGGAGTCATCTTGATTCCTTTCTTTCTGTCACACACCCACATCCAATACATGAGGGAACGTTTTGACTTTACCTTCAAAACATATGTAAAAGCTGACCATGTGTTACTTACTATCTCTGGTGCTACCATTGTAGTCAGAGTTACCATTACCTACACTACTGCAAGGGCTTTCTGCTTCTACCCTTGCCCTCTGCAGTCCATTCTTTACATGCCAATCAGAATGATCCCATTAAAATACAGGTCAGAGAGATTCAGTTCAGTTCAGTTCAGTCACTCAGTCGTGTCCGACTCTTTGTGACCCCATGAACTGTAGCACTCCAGGCTTCCTTGTCCTTCCCCATCTCCCGGAGTTTACTCAAACTCATGTCCATTGACTTGGTGAGGCCATCTAACCATCTCATCCTCTGTCGTCCCCTTCTCCTCCTGCCTTCAATCTTTCCTAACATCAGGGTCTTTTCAAATGAGTCAGCTCTTTGCATCAGGTGGCCAAAGCATTGGAGTTTCAGCTTCAGCATCAGTCCTTCCAATGAAAACCCAGGACTGATCTCCTTGTAGTCAGAGAGATTATGTCTGTTCAAATCCCTCCAGTGACTTTCCCATCTCAGAGATGGTAGCCTCAGAGTGAAGACAAATTCCTTACAAACCCCTTCATCACCTTCCGACTCTGACCACTTTGACTCCAGATACACTGGAGACACTGTTTATCAAATACAACAATCACAGTGTTTCTTCAGAGCTGTTCATGATGCTCCTTCTGGTGGATCCACATGGGTCACTCTTTACAAGCTTCAGGTCTTTATGTAAAAGTCTCCTTCTCCGTGAGCCATTCCTGTCTAAAATTTAAATGACCACTCTCTCACCAACATATCATATTCCTTTCCCTGCTATTTTTTCCTTAGCACTTTTTACCATCTAACATGTTATGTGGGCTTCCCTGCTAGCTTAGCTGGTAAAGAAACTGCCTGCAATGCAGGAGACCCCAGTTCGATTCCTGGGTTGGAAAGATCCCCTGGAGAAGGGGTAGGCTACCCCCTCCAGTATTCTTGGGCTTCCCTGGTGGCTCAGCTGGTAATGAACCTGCCTGCAATCCAGGAGACCTGGGTTCAATCCCTGGGTTCAGAAGATCCCCTGGAGGAGGTGATGGCAACCCACTCCAGTATTCTAGCCTGGATAATTCTATGGACTGTATAGTCAGTCCATGGGGTCACTAAGAGTCAGACACGACTGAGTGACTTGCACTTTAACATGTTATGTACTTCATCTTGGTTATTGTTGGTCTCCAACGGAACGTAAGCTAAATGAAGGCAGATATTTTTATCTTCTTTATTCACAGCTGTATCTTTAGCACCTAGTACAGTGTCTAGCACATAACAAGTGCTCAATTTAAATTTAACAAATAATTTTAAATGACCTTATTTATACTAATTAGCCTAGTAATTTAAAGTCCTGTTACTTTGTAATGGGAAGGTATGCTGCTGCTGCTAAGTTGCTTCAGTCATGTCCGACTCTGTGTGACCCTATAGACGGCAGCCCATCAGGCTTCTCCGACCCCCGGATTTTCCAGGCAAGAACGCTGGAGTGGGTTGCCATTTCCTTCTCCAATGCATGAAAGTGAAAAGTGAAAGTGAAGTCACTCATTCGTATCCGACTCTTGGCGACCCCATGGACTGCAGCCTACCAGGCTCCTCCGTCCATGGGATTTTCCAGGCAAGAGTACTAGAGTGGGTTGCCATTGCCTTCTCCGAATGGGAAGGTATAGATATAGATATATCACTATTGTATTGATGGAAATTTGGTTTAGGTTTTCGTTTGATTCTTATTTTCAGATTCTTTTCTCTGCTATATTATAACCAACATTGCCTTCACAAGCCCGCAAACGTTTTGAAGCCAGAGGGCAAAATGAAAAAGTCATAGCAAATGACCTGGATGGTTCAGTTGTTGGCCTTGTAGAAAGTAAGCATCTATTTTTAAACTAATATTTTGTATATATATTTATATGCATTTTAATAGGAGTATTTACATTAAAATAATGTGAAATTTGTGTTTGTTTTATAAAACAGATCTTAACTTTGGAGAAAGTGCAGCTAACAGGTGAGTTATTTTTTAAAAAGACAGCCAGTAAATACATGTTAGAGGAAGGGACTGATGAGCGTAGCACCTAGAAAAAAAGGTTATTTTTTACTTTGATTTAACCCTTCAAAGTAGGGTTTGTCTGAAGGCTTTTCTTTGGCTAAGCATGTTTTAAATATTGGCATTCTTCGTAGTTCTTTGTATTCTTGGTTATTTTCTTAGTTTATAGTAGAAACTGTAGTAAATGAGTGATACTTATTTTTTTTACTTTATTAAACAAAGGCAATAAAATGCCAGTTGGAGCTCCTCAGCATTGTAAGGTAATTAGTATTACTTCAGTGAGTGATTCCCTACATTTTTTGCCAAAAATTGCCATAAAAAGCAAACAAAAAAAAATAGGCAAATGGAAATCAAAGGAAGGCCGAACTGATAATATTAACAAGAAATGGTGTAGAATGTAAGGTTAAAAGCACTCAACAGAATAAGACACTATTTCAGGAGATATAACAGTCTTAGTAGTGTATGGACAAAACTTAATACTTAAAGAAAAAGCTATTGGAAATGCGTGGGGAGCTTGAAAAGTATGGTTCTACTGGGTAGTTTCAATGACTTCTTTCATTGTTGGACAAATCTTGTAGACAAAACATAAGGACATATCTGAATTTAAATACCTAATAAATACCTAATAAATAAATAAGAAACCTAAGTTCATATGCACACACACACATGCACACACACACACACACTGTTCATTTTCTTCCAAGGAATCCCAAAGAAAATCTTAAAAAAAAACAAAGAATTTTATGGGCTACATTTTATCATAATCCAATAAAATTATAACTAATTAATGAAAAGTTGACCATGAAAATCTGAATTAATCAGTAATTATTTTGCAAGAATTAATGTGAATTGCAGGACACATTGGGCTTCCCTGGTGACGCAGATGGTAAAGAATCCGCCTGCAGTCTGCAATGTGGGAGACCTGGGTCCGATCCCTGGGTTGGGAAGATCCCCTAGAGGAGGGCATGGCAACCCACTCCAGTATTCTGGCCTGAAGAATCCCCATGGACAGAGGAGCCTGGTGGGCTATAGTCCACAGGTCGAAAAGAGTCAGACATGACTGAGCAACTAAGCATAGAACACAATCCTTTTGCCAAACAGGAAATCAAAAGGGAAGTTACCAAGTATCTTTGTCATTCAGTCGCTAAGTTGTGTCCAACTCTTTGCAACCCCATGGACTGTCCTTCACTATCTCCTGGAGTTTGCTCAAACTCATGTCATTGAGTCGGTGATGCCATCCAACCGTCTCATCCTCTGTCACCCCCTTCTCCTCCCACCTTCAGTCTTTCCCAGCATCAGCATCTTTTCTGAGTCAGCTCTTCACATCAGGTGGCCAAAGTATTGGAGCTTCAGCTTCAGCATCAGTCCTTCCAGGGAGTATTCAGGGTTCATTTCCTTTAGGATGGACTGGTTTGATCTATCTCCAGTCTAAGGGACTCTCAAGAGTCTTCTCCAGCACCACCATCTGAAAGCATCAATTCTTCAAAGCGCTCAGCCTTTTTTATGGTCCAGCTCTGACATCCATACATGACTCCTGGGAAAAACCATTGCTTTGAGTATATGGACCTTTGATGGCAAAGTTATGTTTCTGCCTTTTAATACGCTGTTTAGTTCTGGAGGTCATGAAAAAGAGAACTTCATATCAGAGTTAATGGGGCAATATGAAAGCTGAACAGGAAAAAAAATCATCATTGTTAAAAAAGATAATAAGAACTTAGATTTATCTTAAGAAAAATCATCTAAATTAATAAAACTATATTAGGAAGATAAAATTTATAAAGATAAAATCTTAAATTAATAAAATTGCAGGAACAATAAATCTGAAACATTGATTTAAAGTCCAATAAAATAAGCTCCTCTGATTAAACTGAAAGGAGAATGTATGCAAGATGAGGAATAAGAGGGCTGATATAACCACAGATGTTGGAGAGATTAAAACAATTATACATCAATAGTTTGTGCAACTGTTTGGTAACAACATATTTGAAAATCTAAAGGAAATTGATGGTTTTCCAAATTAAATATAATGACAGAATTCATCCAAGAAGAAGCAGAAACATGCATAGGCCCATTGTCACATGAAGTTGAGCTTTATCTATCCTTAAAGAGTAGACAATTTCAATTCCAGGCTATTGAAAAGAGGGGCGATCTACAATACAGTCTAGAAAATGACATAAGTTTAATGTATTAGTTGCTGAGTCATGTCCGACTCTTTGCAGCCCCATGGACTGTAGCCCGCCAGGCTCCTCTGTCCGTAGGATTCTCCAGGCCAGAGTACTGGAGTGGGTTGCCATTTCCTCTGCCAGGGGATCGTCCTGACCCAGGGATTGAACTCAGGTCTACCTGCATTACAGGTGGATTCTTTAACATCTGAGCCACCAGGGAAGTCTGTAACTTTAATATGAAAGCCCAGTAAAGATAGAGCAAAGAACGGAAACTGCTGACTAAGCTCGCTTATTAATTATAGATACCAGAATTGTACATAAAATATTCACAAATAAAATCCAGGAATATATTTTAAAATTCCACAATTTCTGCTGCTTCTTTGAGTGTGCACATGAAATACTCTGTCTAGAATGGTGGTCGTGTAGGGGGTATAATGGAAAGTGGACACCCCTGGGACATGTTTTGGAGGTAGAGTTGATTATAATTGCTATCAGAGGTAAGGAAATAAGGGGGATCAAGCTCTCAAGGAAATATAAGGGATAGATTCAGACACCCAAAAGTTAAAAAAAAGAATTGCCTACCAAGCACCTTTGCTCAGAAAGATCCCACAGTGTGTGCTCCAACAAAACAGTGGTTTTCTTAAATTAAGAAAGAGGAACACATGGGTTTCAGGGAAACAGAGAGCCCTACTTAAAGAGGTGGAGGGAATTCCCAATATAACAGTGGAAGTCCAAGGGTTGTATTCACTTGTACAGAAGCCAATTTGGAATGGAACAGAAGGATGTAGACAGATCTCCAGGAAAAAATCAAAATGACATATTATTTGGTGCTAACATTTGTTTCCTCTGAGCCAGATATTGTTCATGCTAAGTATTTTGCACATGATGACTCAATCTTTCTACTTGGGAAAGTTATTATTTCCACTCGATTATAAGCTCCATGAAAGCAAATAGTTCCATCTGTTTTATATATGTCAGACACTAAGGATGCTGCCTGGCACCTACTAGATATTGAATGGGTATTTGTAGAATGAATGCAATGAATCCACATTTAACATACGCAGAAACTGAGATACACAGATTCTGTTAACTTCTCCAACGTACAGATATGAAATGACTGAAATGGAATTTGAACCCAGGCAGTCTTGCTCTAGAGTTGGGGCCTGTATTGTGAAGATATAGCGGGGTGAAAGGGGAAGACATAGTAGCATAAACATCTTCTTTAGGATTATGGAATTAAATATCATAAGGAAAAAAATAGCTGCTTTTGTGAGGACTGGTGTTTTTGGTTTTAGATCTTTTAGCACTATTTGGTTTTTTAAACTCTGGATCACTTGGATAAAAACTAAATTTTAATAAGTCAGATGATGAATACAGAATAAAGATGAGCTTGTAGAGATAAGAAACATGTCTTAGATTTATAACTAAAGTGTATGCAGAATAGATTATTACATAATTTGGTAGAGGAGTTGAAATAGATGAAGTAAACAGGGATAATAACCTTTACCAGTGATATAGAATATGGGCTTCTAGGCTTGCCACTAATTGACTGTAAGACTTTGAGCAAGGTATTTGCCCTCTCTGAGAGTCTGTCTCCTCATCCATAAAATGAGACTTTATGATACCTACTTCACATAGTTATTATGAAAATTAAATATTTAAGATTGTGAAAACACTTAACACAGAGCCTAGTAAGAGTTCAATAAGAGTTTGTTTCCTTTTGGTTGTATTTATTCTCTTATTTATACAAAATAGTACACATTACATTATTTATTCTCTTAATAATGCTAATTATATGAACCATAGTTTATCCTAATTTTATAAATAAGGAAAGAGTTTAAGTTGTTTAGTCAAGGTTACACAGCTCTAATACTTTGGCACCTGGTACAAAGAGCCAACTCGTTGGGGAAAGACCCTGATGCTGGGAAAGATTGAGGGCAGGAGAAGAGGATGACAAAGGATGAGATGGCTGGATGGTATCGCTGACTCAATGGACATGAGTTTGAGCAAATTCCAGGAGAGACTGAAGGACAGGGAAGTCTGGTATACGGCAGTCCATGGGGTTGCAAAGAGTTGGACATGACTTAGCGACAGAAATAAAATTTTAAAACATAAATAAAATAAAATAAAAACTAAGCTGAAATATGTAGCTTTGTAATGATACCTTAATTTCATGTAGAAAATAGCCACGGTCTTTTATTTTTTAGCTTTTTTACTGGTTCCTTCCTATTATCGCTTACCTATTGATTAGCATAAACATTGTCTCAAAGGCTATGTCTTGACTAGATGTTTACATGGTAGACTTGTCATCTCCCAATGTGAGCTGATTTATCAATTGCCCTTTAGATCTGACGTGAATTGGTGTCAACCCTCAGAGATGGAAATGACCAGTGAAATGAACTGGCAGTTGAGTAACTGCACCTGCATATCAACCATCTGGGACCCAGTTTCTATTCCTTCCATCTCCTACATGGTAACGTTTGTGATGTATTATTACCGTCTTTCTTTTTTGATATATACATGTGGCATATACATTTGTATCAGGGAAGTAGGTTAAGCAAGAAATGTCTTCTCTCTCTCTCTCTCCTTTTTTTTTTTTTTAATTTGCTCATGCTGCATGGCTTTTGGGATCTTATTTCCCCACCCAGGGATTGAACCTGGGCCCTCAGCAGTGAAAGCACTGAGTCCTAACCACTGGACTGGCGCTCCTAGAAATGTTTTCTTTTTCATCATTTTTTTTAAAGACTTTATTAAATGCCATACATTGACATGAATCAGCCATGGGTGTACATGTGTTCCCCATCCTGAACCCCCCTCCCACCTCCTACCCCATCCCATCTATGTATTCTGCTAACATTTGCTATAGACAGGTTGAGCTCACTCTTCCTCTCTTTGTGGAAGAGTGGATTCCATGATGGGGAGAAAGCTACAGAGTTCCCCAGCTTTGCTCCACATTTCTTGAGCATCTATCAGGCATTTAGGCAGTGGGCTGGCAGGTCAAGATACAGAGGCTGCAAGGGTAGATAGACATGTCATCAATTAGAGGCATTGACTATTCCAAGTGGAATGAACACTTGACAGGGTGTATGGGTTACTTTGATAAAGAATTTGAACATAAGGGAAAAGGAGATGAGGTGGATTGACAGTAACTGGTTGGCAAATGGAAACTTGGTGGGTTATTCTGGGAACTCGGAGTAGTTTAGCATGGCCATACTGTCGTGGATGATGAGTGCAACAAGAAATAAAGCTCGAGCTTAAAGAAATACTGGATCTTGTAGGAACTTGTATAGGAATTTAGGCTTTGTTATATAAGCAGTGAGGAACCAAAGCTACCACACAGTCCTTTTTACAGTTTTGAAAGACTAGTCTGGGAGGAGAGTGGAAGATGATTAGTACGGAAATAAGACACAGATCAGCGAAGTCAATTAGAAGTCTTTTCAAGTCATCCAGGCCAGAGATCTAGAATGATCTGGTCTAGAATGCTAGAATGTTGGCAGTAGATCTAAAGAAAGAATTTTGAGAAGCTCGATCTGCAGATAGGATTGATAGGAGCTACTGATAAGTTGAAGGTTGAAATATGGGTCCCCAATAAATTATCTGCAAATATAAAATTCAAACAACTCCAGGAAACAAGATTTGTTAAGTTTGCAGCAAACACTTTTGGTCACAGAACTGTACTTGAACTATAGTGAGGCTACAGTCATTATTTATGTTACCAAGTGTAAATATTCATATGTGAATTTGGCATTTGCATTTTGGTACAAAAATAAATATTAGTGTGTTTCATTACAGGGTGCTATTTCAGTCCCTGTGGGGTATTACTAACATGTTCTATGTGTAAAACATTCCGAACTCCAAAACACATCTGGCCCCAAGGACTTAAATGATGTGCACCTGCTATTTTTGCACAATTTTGCTTTAAAACTTAATTGCTCCAATGATATAACGAACTGCACATTCACTCTGAGTACATAGTAACTTTGTTCTCCTTGCATGCAGCAGAGCTGCATTTAGGAACGAGAATTTTGATAGGATTTTGGAAGAAGTAATTTTGAAATGTACTGAGCAAATGTGTGGCTATGCACCTAGGAAGAGTTTAGCAAGAAAGTTTGGGGTTTTGAGGGTGAAAAAAAATCACAAAATGAAGAAGCAACATGATGTGGGCCAAATTTATGTTCATTAAGATATTAATAGCCCCTGTGATTCTGATGAAAAATACATAGTCATCAGAATCATAGCTGTTGCATCATTTTTTTCAAAAATTTTGCTGTTTCATTTTGAGAAGTTTGATTATGATTTTTGCCTTGGCATGGATATGCAGGGCAGGGTATTCTGTTCAGGTTCATGCAACTTGAGTCTTCAGTTTTGTCTTCTCTCAAACTTGGAACATTTCCTGCCATTATTACTGCACTGATTCTCTTCCCTTTCCGAGACTCTAATAACACAAATATTAGAGCTTTAGATGTTATCCCAGCTGGTCCTTGAGGCTCTGTTTGGTTCTTTAAATCTCTCTCTTTCTTTCTGTTTTGCAGAATGAGTGATTTGTATTCATCCATCTAAAGTTTCACTGAATCTTTCTTTTTTCATCTCCCTTCTGATAATTAGTCATTCCATTGGGTATTTTTATTCCAGTTAATTATATTTTTCAGTTCTGAAGGTTCTGTTTGGCCTTTCTCTGTATCTTCTATTTCTTGGCTGATGCTTTCTATTTTAATTTTTGTTTCAAGTGGTCATGATTACTCATGCAAGCATTTGTGTACTAGCCACTTTAAAAGTCTTTGTCAGGTAATTCCATCATCTATGTCATGACTACTAATGGTTTTTTCCCATGGAAGTTGAGATTTTCATGGTTCTTCATGTGCCAACTAATTTTGGATTTTATCCTGGATTTTTAAATTATTTTTAAAAATTTATTTTAATTGGACGCTAATTACAAGATTGTAGTCGTTTTTGCCATACATTGACATGAATCAGCCATGGGTGTACGTGTATCCTGGATGTTTTGACTGTTAATTTAAAAGACCCTAGGTCTGGCCAAATTATGGAGAATGTTGATATCTGTGCTTTAGCAGACACTGACCTGGTTCAGTTTACGCTACACCTTCCAGCCCACTTCTCTGACCTGTGGTCCCAGTGGCTGCTCAGTTTCTATAGCCTTTGTTCTGCTGTTCCTGTCTGTCCTGCATGTACTCCAGATTCAGCAATCAACCTGGGACCTGGGCTTTGGTCTCTCCGGGGGCTTAGTAATCAAAGTCTTTGGTGTGTTCATTAAGAGCCCATTCACTCACGTACAGGAGTGGGAAGGGGGCTGATGAACCCAGGAGTTCATACTAGCTTCCCCAAGCTTCTCTGTCTCTGTGATTGAAACACGTTTCCAACTAGTGGTAGGACAGAGAGAGAATTGAAAAATATTTTCTGTCACCCGGTTCACGAAGCCACAGCTCCACCTAATGGAGAAGAAAGTTCCTCTCGCTCATATATTCGGCTCTTTTTTAATTTTTTTTTTTTTTTAAGTTTGGGCTTCCCTGGTGACTCAGACCACACACAGGTTTGATCCCTGTGTCAGGAGATCCCCTGGAGAAGGGAATGGCTTCCCACTCCAGTACTCTTGCCTGGAGAATCCCATGGACAGAGGAGCCTGGTGGGCTACAGTCCGTGGGTCACACAGAGTGGGACATGACTGAGCAACACTTTCACTTTCATATTGTCACCTTAGTTCTCTTTTTTGTTGGTTTTTCCAATTTTAAACTTTATATAAATTGAATCATACTGTACATATTCTTTTGTGACCTTCTTGCAATCAGTAAGTATTATGTTCGGTTCACAGTCGCTCAGTTCTGTCAGACTCTTTGAAACCCCATGGACTGCAGTAGCCAGGCTTCCCTGTCCATCACCAACTCCCAGAGTTTAATGAAATTCATGTCCATTGAGTTGGTGATGCCATCCAACCATCTAATCCTCTGTCATCCCCTTCTCCTCCTGCCTTCAATCTTCCCAGCATCAGAGTCTTTCCCAATGAGTCAGTTCTTTGCATCAGGTGGCCACAGTATTGGAGTTTCAGCTTCAGCATCAGTGCTTCCAAAGAATATTCAGGACTGATTTCCTTTAGGATGAACTGATTTGATCTCCTTACAGTCCAAGGGACTCTGAAGAGTCTTCTACAACACCACAGTTCAAAAGCATCAGTTCTTCAGTGCTCAGCTTTCTTTATAGTCCAACTCTCACATCCATACATGAAAGACTACTGGAAAAACCATAGCTTTGACTATATGTACCTTTGTCGGCAAAGTAATGTCTCTGCTTTTTAATATGCTGTCTAGGTTGGTCATAGGTTTTCTTCCAAGGAGCAAGCGTCTTTTAATTTCATGGCTGCAGTCACCATCTGCAGTGATTTTGGAGCCCAAGAAAATAAAACCTATCACTGTTTCCACTGTTTGCCCATCTATTTGCCATGAAGTGATGGGACCAAATTTGGAAAACTCAGCAGTGGCCACAGGACTGGAAAAGGTCAATTTTCATTCCAATCCCAAAGAAGGACAATGCCAAGAAATGTTTAAAATACCACACAATTGCACTCACCTCACATGCTAGCAAAGCAATGCTCAAAATTCTCCAAGCTAGGCTTCAACAATATGTGAACCGTGAACTTCCAGATGTTCAAACTGGATTTAGAAAAGGCAGAGGAACAAGAGGCCAAATTGCCAACATCCGTTGGATCGTATAAAAAGCAAGAGAATACCAGAAAAACATCTACTTATGCTTTATTGATTACGCCAAAGCCTTTGTGTAGATCACAACAAACTGTGGGAAATTGTTAAAGAGATGGGAATACCAGATCACCTTACCTGCCTCCTGAGAAATCTGTATACAGCTCAAGAAGCAACAGTTAAAACCAGACATGGAACAACAGACCGGTTCCAAATTGGGAAAGGAGTACATCAAGGCTGTATATTGTCACCTGGCTTATTTAACTTATATGCAGAGTACATCATGCGAAATGCCAGGCTGGATGAAGCCCAAGCTGGAATCAAGATCGCAAGGAGAAATATCAATAACCTCAGACATGCAGATGACACCACCCTTATGGAAGAAAGTGAAGAGGAACTAAAGAGCCTCTTGATGAAAGTGAAAGAGCAGAGTGAAAAAGTTGGTTTAAAACTCAACGTTCGGCTGGGAGTCTCGTCCGGCGTGTGGCCGCAGCTGGAGAGCCTGAGGCCAGGCCGGGGCGTCGCACGCAGGCGCTACCCGCCTGGGCTGTGAGCCGGCCGCGGCCTCGGCGGCGAGGCCTCCCGGATGCCGGGTGGAGCTCTGCGGTGCAGAGCAGAGGCTGCGCCCGGGCCGCAGGCAAGGGTAGAAGGCCAACGGGTCCGCTCTCCGACGCGCGGTGGACGCGGCGGCGGCGGCGATGGACGCCCTAGAGGAAGAGAGCTTCGCGCTGTCCTTCTCTTCCGCCTCTGATGCAGAATTTGATGCTGTGGTTGGATGTTTAGAGGACATTATCATGGATGATGAGTTCCAGTTATTACAGAGGAATTTCATGGACAAGTACTACCAGGAGTTTGAAGACACGGAAGAGAATAAGCTTACCTACACACCTATTTTTAATGAATACATTTCTTTGGTAGAACAGTATATAGAAGAACAGCTGTTGGAGCGGATTCCTGGATTTAACATGGCGGCTTTCACTACAACTTTACAGCACCATAAAGATGAAGTGGCCGGTGACATTTTTGACATGCTCCTCACATTTACAGATTTTCTGGCTTTTAAAGAAATGTTTCTGGACTACCGAGCAGAAAAAGAAGGCCGGGGACTGGACTTGAGCAGTGGTTTAGTGGTGACGTCACTGTGCAGATCATCTTCTGTGCCAGCCTCCCAGAACAATCTGCGGCCCTAGGTCTCACCTTCAGGCTCTGGGCTCTTCCTGGACATCACCAGCTCAACAGACTGGGAGAGGCTTTGGCTAATGATGTCAGAAGAACACATTCTGGAAAGACTGACTCTTCTGCAACTCTTCATTAATGTTAAGTATTGATGGGTCAGAAGACAAATTACCTGACCTTTCTGGCACAAGACATTCTTGGTTTTGGTAACCCTAGTACTCCTCCCCGAGTAGACCCCTCTCTCAGGCTTCGGAGTCTGGCTCCTGCAGCAAACCCGAGTCCAGCATTCAACCTGGGATGCCTGTCCCCAGCATTCATGTCAGGGTGTCTGTGTTGGGAAAATTTACCATCATCAACCCTTGGCCCAGCAGGCCTCACATGTCCCAGGAGGCTTTTCATGCACCCACAGCTGATCACGGTTTGAGTCCTACAGCCTCAGTGGGGGTTTTGACTGGGAGTATTTATCTAGGAGTTAACTGCAGCTAGCTGCCCATCTCAAGATTTCTGAAAATCCTACCATCACAGCTAGTAGGAATCAACTTAGAGATTTCCTTTACCTAAAAGCTACATGTGAAAATCAAATCCTAGTCTTACATGTGCAGTCTTTTTACCACTGTCTTCTACAGGTCCAGATGTAGTCCCATTGTTTTCATAACCTTCGTTTGTGCGTTTTTGAAAAAATATTTTTTATAGATGAATACTCAGGCTTACCTAGTGGATACAATCTTGGAACTTCCATGATTACCCACTTCAAGATCAAAGTATTATATGCTGTGTGCTTTTTAGCTGTTAGTGCTATGAAAGCTAAAATGCTTTCTACCTTGGTCCGTTTTACTGGGTGCCAGTGAATGTATGCTGGAAGTAGTCTAAAATATATCCTTTTCTTAGAGCATGTTCACGTTTGTGCAGGTTTGCTTAAAACCCTTTCTGTGTAAATCAGCTCCTTAGGTTTGGGGTAGGAGCTCTGCACTTCCTTCTTGGCTGTCAAAATAATCCTACCAAGATAGTGTTCCATGGTCTAGCTTAGCACAAGTAGGAGATAGCAAACAGCTTTACTGGTCATCTGCTTAGATTCAGTACATTGTCTTATTATAGTGTTGGATGGGACATTACTGGCCGGAAAACATGGGTGAAAGGAAAAATGTAGTAGTTCAATTCCAATGTGTATTTAGTTTTTTTTTTTATTTTTAAAGTAAAAATAGGAATCTCTACTAAAAAAAAATAAATAAATAAAACTCAATGTTCAAAAAACTAAGATCATGGCATCCGATGCCATCACTTCATGGCAAATAGATGGGGAAACAATGGAAATAGTGACAGTTTTTATTTACTTGGGATCCAAAATCAATGCAGATGATGACTGCAGTCTTGAAATTAAAAGACACTTGCTCTTTGGAAGAAAAGCTATGACCAACCTAGATAGCATATTAAAAAGCAGAGACATTATTTTGCCGACAAAGGTCCGTCTAGTCAAAGGTATGGTTTTTCCAGTAGTCGTGTATGGATGTGAGAGTGGGACTATAAAGAAAGCTGAGCGCTGAAGAATTGATGCTTTTAAACTGTGGTGTTGGAGAAGACTCTTGAGAGTCCCTTAGTCCATCCTAAGGGAAATCAGTCCTGAATATTCATTGGAAGGACTGATGTTGAAGTTGAAACACCAATATTTGGCCACCTGATGTGAAGAACTGACTCATGTGAAAAGACCGTGATGCTGGGAAAGACTGAAGGTGGGAGGAGAAGGGGACGACTGAGGATGAGATGGTTGGATGGCATCACCAACTTAATGGACCTGAATTTGAGTAAACTCTGGAAGTTGGTGATGGACAGGGAAGCATGGTGTGCTGCAGTCGATGGGGTTGCAAAGAGTCAGACACGACTGAGCGACTGAACTGAACTGAATTGAATACAAGTAATGGAAACTCTGAAGTCCCTTAGCCCACACAACCTCACAACCAATTCGCTCATGCTTTTACTGTTGGTATCAGTTTGGAACAATGTTTAAAAGGTGGGAAAGTATAGAGGATAACAAGCATCCATGCTTCAACATTCTAAATTACTAAATGTTAACATTTTGTCATAATTTTTCCAGATCATTTCTTTTTTATTTTTTTCCAGATCATTTCTTAATGAAATTTTACAAGTAAGACCAAACTCTCCTTGGCTCATCCCTTTTCCCAATCACCCTCCACCACTCCAGAGACAATGACTATGGTGAATTTTCTGTATAACCTTTCAGAACATTTTCATTCTTTTACTAAGGAAAAATATGTAGTACTCTTCTACATGATTTTAGAAAATTGATTATAATTGGTATTATTTTGTATTTATGTTTTTGAGATCTGCATTTATGTTTTGAGATATTATGTTTTATAGATTGGTACATATTAACTATATATATATAAATGCTCAATGATATTTCACATAGGAATATATTACAATTTAGTGCTTTATTTTATACCTTTACTGAAAAATTATACCTTTACTGAAAAATTCCTTAAAAGAGTTCTCAAATATGCTATGTAACTACTTCTTTTCTTTTCCTTTTGTTCTTTTTTTGAAATTTAAATCAAAATTTTTATTGGAATATAGTTGATTTACAATGTTGTGTTAGTTTCTGGTCTATAGCAAAGGGAATCTGTTATACATATACATATATCCATTCCTTTTTAGACTCTTTTCTCAGTTAGGTTGTTACATAACACTGAGCACAGTTCTCTGTGCTATACAGTAGGTCCTTTTTGGTATCTATTTTAAATACAGCACTGTGTACATGACCATCCCAAACTCCCTAAGTATCCTTCCCCCAGTCCACCCCCCTCCAGCAATCATAAGCTCCTTCTCTAAGTCTATGAGTCTGTTTCTGTTTTGTAAATAAGTCCATTTGTATCATATTTTTAGATCCCACCTCAGTCACAAGTAACCCCCATGTTACCACATCCCTTCTACTTCATGGCTGTGTGTCATCTTTTCCTTTTTCTTCCTTGGAGATTTTTCAACAACCTCTTCAGTGCCAGTATATGTTGCTTCTTTAGAAGCATCAGAGCACTTGGTTTGTAAACTAGTGATATTTTATTGTCCTTGAATGCACAAAACGCTGTCAGCATCTGAGCAAAATACTTGAAATTCTAGTTCCCCATCCATGTTTATCTCCAAGGTCTGCCACGACTCAACTGGCATCTTCTCATGTTTAAGGATGGAGGCATTTTCTCTTTTTTTCATATCTGACATTTAGCATTTTCAGTAGACATCATTTAAATGTAATATTTGCTCTAGAGCGGTTATTTGTACTCATGGTACTATTGTTTTTAGTTCAGTTCAATCTTTCAGTCGTGTCCAACTCTCTGCAACCCCATGAATAGCAGCACACCAGGCCTCCCTGTCCATCACCAACTCCCAGAGTTTACTCAAACTCACGTCCCTTGAGTCGGTGATGCCATCCAACCATCTCATCCTATATCATCCCCTTCTCCTCCTGCCTTCAGTCTTTCCCAGAATCAGGGTCTTTTCAAATCAGTCAGTTCTACGCATCAGGTGGACAAAGTATTGGAGTTTCAGCTTCAACATCAGTCCTTCCAATGAACATTCAGGACTGATTTCCTTTAGGATGGCCTGGTTGGATTTCCTTGTAGTCCAAGGGATTCTCAAGGGTCTTCTCCAACACCACCGAGTAATAACATAGTAATTAAGTTTTCCTTTGTTTTCTCTTCCATTTGAATTCACAGGTTCCAATTCCAATGAGACTCCCTTCCATGATGGCACCTCAATACATGAGTTACACTCAACCAAGCTTAAGGACCAGCAAGGCTTGTGCTGCATCCATAAGAAATAACGTATGTTTGAACTGTTGTTGTTTTGGCCCTTGGTAGACATGTGCAGGGGCTTCCCAGGTGGTGCCAGTGGTAAAGAATCCACCTGCCAGTGCAGGAGACATAAGAGACATGGGTTTTATCCCTGGGTTGGGAAGATCCCTTGAAGGAGGGAATGGTTACCCACTCCAGTATTCTTGCCTGGAGAATTCCATGGACAGAGGAGCCTGGCAGGCTACAGTCCATAATAAGGTCGCAAAGAGTCAGACACGACTGAAGCGACTTAGGGTGCATGCAGACATGTGCAGTCACTGGATGCAAGACCAGTGTTAGAACAGAGTTTTGCAGTCTTTTGTGCACTGTTGTTTCTTCACAGAAGAAAAAGGAATTCTCACATTTTCAGCCTTCAATTTCAGTATAACAGTTTCAGCATTCTAACATTTTAAAAAGACAAAACTGTAAAAACCCAATCCTCTACAAAGTTGTGTGGTGAAACCTTGACCGAGTTCCAATATGTAATCAGCAAACCTTTTATTCATTCATTCAACAGACACAACTGAGAGCAGTGCTGAAGAGGTGGGTAGCTCAGTATGAAGGTTTTAGGCACACCTTTCTTAAGGAAGTGATACCTGAGTTGTATGCTCAGACTTAAAAATGGGTAGCCAGTCAAGGGAGTGGGGAAAGGATCTTCCAGACAAGCATATAAACAGATAGGAAAGCCAAAGCACCATGGGAGATCACAGGATGGAACAATTAATTCAGGGATAAAAGATTTCAGGGCACGCGTGCATGGCATTGCATAGAAAATGTTAAGGAGAATTGCGACTAGTGGAGGTATGCATGGTAGAAGTTTGACATTAGACGTAGAGAAAACAGCTTGAGCACAGAAGTGGAAGCAGGCAGTGGTAACATGGATGAGGTATAGCCAACCTCAGGAGCAAACGGGAGAGTGTCATGATCCAGGTGTTCATTGCCTCCGAGTATTGTTCTCTAGAAATCTTTACAAGGTTTCTACCTTCAGTCTTCAGACCATGCCCTGGGGGCCGCCTGGTTCCTGAAGGTTTTAAGCGGCCTGACAAATCTTCAAGCATCAGATAGTGAGCAGACTGACCTGAGTTTTATGTAAAAATATTTGTAGTTTATTTTATAACCACAAGGAAAAGTATGTGGGAACAATGAAAGATTTATATATCTGTCTGTCTTTCACAGACAAAAATCCATGTAGAAGTACCAAAGTGAAAACAATTCCAAATCAGAGGTCAAAACAAATGATGATCTCTCTGCAGCCTGAACTGAATCATCCACATCTTCCAAGTCAATAAACATTCATTTGGACAATCAACACCCTTGAGATTCTTCAGCTCATTGTTTTTGAAGTTATGCACTCTCTTGTTTTAATAATTATCCTGGAAACTTTACCCTGTAAAATTATTTTAAAAAAACAACCTAAAGTTAATATCTTAATCTCCTCTATTAAATAACACAAAGACCTTAGAATACTTTTAAACTACAAGGGCATTCCCTCCCAACTTACAGATGATGGTGGCCCAATATATTAGCCCTGTCCCAAATTTAAGGTGTTAGAGAGAAACGTTTTTGTTTACACTTGGAAATGTGTTCACAAATTCTTTGTTCACCATTCCTTCTTGCATTGGAACCATTTCCCTCTTCTTGAAGTACATGTTTTAGAAGTTTATTTAGTGTAGTTATACTGATGATAAACTCAGTTGTTATTGGAAAATGTAGTGCTTCATACTCATTATTTTAAAGTAAACTTTAAATTGATACACACATACAAACTCATTCTTGTTTGAATCTTTTTGTGGACAAATGTGGATCTATCTCTTGGGTAAATACCTAGGAGTAGAATGACAGGGTCATCAGGTAGGTGTTCATCTAAAATTAAAACTGCCAGAACTTCCCTGGTGGTCCACTGGTTAAGAATCTGCCTGCCAATACAGGGGACGTGGGTTCAAGCCCTGGTCAGGGAACTCAAATCCCACAAGACATGAGGCAACTAATCCCATTCACCATAACTACAGATGCTCACGTGCCACAACTAGAGAAGTCTGTGCACCACAATGAAGACCCTGCATGACCAAAAAAATAACTTAAAACTGCCAAAAGTTGTTCAAAATTACTGTACCACTGTATTCCACCAGCAGTCTATGAGAATGCTATTGCTTCAAATTCTGGCCAAAAATGACTGCTGTTAGTATTTTAAAATTTGGCCATTCTGGTGGGTTTGTTAAGTCATATTTCACAGTGGTTTAATTTACCCTTCCCTGATGACTAAGCAACTTTTCATATACTTATTGGCCATTCCACCATCTCTTTTACTATGTGAAGCATTCAACTGTTTTTCCCATTTTAATGTTTTCCTTTGAGTTTCTTTTTCCCCCCTTTGGTTGCACCACATGGTTTGCAGTATCCTAGTTTCCCAACCAAGGATCGAACCTATGCTCCTTGTAGTGGAAGTGGAGAGTCCTAATCACTGGACAGCAAGGGAATTCGTATCTTTTATGTTTAGCTCTATGATCCATCTAAGCTACATTTTTGTGCTTGGTAACAGATAGGGGTAGAGGTTAACTTTTTCTATATAATTATCCAGTTGTTCTTGAAACATTTGGGAAAAACAAATTCGTTTCACCTTGCATTCTTAGAACATTTCTCAAAAACCAACCAACAACATATTTATGAGTTTGTATTAGCTTTTGTTTTGTTCCATTGATCCAAAGATCTATCCTTAGTTCAATAACACACTGTCTTGATTATCATAGTTTCCTGTAGGTCTCAAAATCAGGCAGTATTAGTCTTCTAGGTTTATGCATATTTTTCAAGATTGGTTCAGGTATTCAGGTGTTCTTTGAATTACATAAAACATTCCAATCAACTGATCAGTTTCTATGGGAAAAAAAAAAGGCCCCAGAGAACACGCTGCTTAGGACTACATTGACTCTCTAGTTCAATTTGGAGAAAACAGACATATAGACATCCTAACAATATCAGCCCTTCCCAATCATAAACATGCTGGAGCTCTCAGGCATTCTTTAACTTCTGTCTTCTGATTTGGGGTTTTGAACAGTTACTAGCACTTTTCATTATGTAGATAAAGACTACTACCAAGTATTTTATGTTTTTTAATTCTGCTGCTGCTGCTAAGTTGCTCCAGTCGTGTCCGACTCTGCGACCCTATAGACGGCAACCCACCAGGCTCTGCCATCCCTGGGATTCTCCAGGCAAGAACACTGGAGTGGGTTGCCATTGCCTTCTCCGTTTTTAATTCTACCATAATAGTATTCTTTAATTCATTTTCTAAGTTTTGTCACTACTATATAAAGGCTCTCACTCTCATCCACCACCACCCATGTTCCAAGGCCTCAAGCCTTGCCACTGTCCCGAGTCCTCAGCCCCTTCCCAGTTGAGTCTTACTGCCCTGCCCACTTTCTCCACTCCTGGGGTACCAGCCATCCCCCCACCCACTTACCCCACCTCTAGTAGCGCCCTTTTTCCCTTCCTCCAAACTCCAGCAAACTCTGTCCTTCACCACTCAGTCCAGCTCAAAGCCCTGCCCACTTAGCCACCGAACAACAACAACTGCCTCTCTCTTTCCACGTCTTCATCCTGGCCTAGTTCCCTCACTCCTGTAGTCCTGCTGTATGCCAAGTACTTATTAGGTACACTACGCGAAAAGTGAAAGTGTTAGTCACTCAGTCGTGTCTGCCTCTTTGCAACCCCATGGACTGTAGCTGGTAGCCCGCCAGGATTCTCCCTCCATGGAATTTTCCAGGCAAGAATACTGGAGGGGGTTGCCATTTCCTTGTCCACAGGATGTTCCTGACCGAGGGATTGAATCTATGCATTAAAGGCAGACTTCTTATGATCTGAACCAGCAGGAAAACCCAGGTAGTCTATATACATAATCTCATTTAATCTTTACAACAGCCTTGTTGGTACCCATTGTCATTTTAATTTTTAAATAACTTAGATAGTGTCTTCACCTGTGCTCCTTTCCTACTCTGTGCAGGCAAGACAGAGACGTCCGTGTTTTTTGGTTGTGGTTTGGTCACCAAGTCACGTCTGACTCTGTGACCCCATGGACTGTAGCCCACCAGGCTCCTCTGTCCATGGGATACTGGAGTGGGTTGCCCTTTCCTTCTCCAGGGGATCTTCCCAACCCAGGGATCGAACCTATGTCTCCTGCATCTCCTGTGTTGGCAGGTGGATTCTTTACCCACTGAGCCACAAGGGAAGCCTGAGGCAGGAACCAACACGGTGCTTTGATGTCAGATAACGGGGGTGTAGTAGTGGATGAGCTTGGGGATTCCTTGGGTATAGAAACATCGGGAAAGTTCTTAGGATTTTGTATTAATATGTACAGTGTGAAGTTTTGAAAACGTTTGAGCTGGTGGTGAGAGATTGATCAAAGGTGGTTTTCGGTAAATTGTGATGCAACGGGTGGGGTATTTATTGGAATTAAACCACTGGGTCCACTCGGAAGCAGGCTCAAAACAAGCACCCTTCAGGGGCCAAAAAGCTCGAGAGGATCGTGGGCCCAGAATGTCACCGAGGCCCAAGTCCCGTGGTGGCGTCTAGGTCTCGAGTCTGCTTGAATTCGAGAAAGGATCGGGTAGCTTCGAAGGTTATTCTGGAGAGGACTGTTCCAGGCTGGCAGTGGAGTCTGTTCCAGCTTCTTCCAGGATTGTCAGCACCCTTCAGCCCGCCGCCCCACCAACAAAACCCCTGGAATCCCTTTTCCCAGGACTCGGTATTGGTCCTTCCCGCAGAGCCAGCCTCGCCCCCGCGGCCCTTCCACGCCTGTCACTCACCCGCGCAGCCAATTAGAACCCACCGATCGAGCGACTCTGCCGCGCGGGGGACGGGGCGGGTACTTCCTGTAAGCCAACGAACGCACAGACTTCTAGCCGGGCGGCGGGGCGCGGGCCCGCGGCTGTCAGCCGAGCCAATCACAGGCCCCCGGCTACAGGCGGCTCGCGAGGCACGTTAGTCGCGCGCTCGCTTTTCCAAAATGGCGGCCTCTAAGGACGGTTGTGGTGTGGGAGAGGTGGCCGCGGGCAACGGGAGGCGACTCCACCTGGGGATTCCTGAAGCGGTTTTTGTGGTAAGCGGCCAGTGGGTGCTTGATGCTACGCTGTTGTTCCCTTTCTTCCTGGCCCCTCACCCGGGCCTCGGTTGTTGGGGGGAGAGGCGTTGGGCCCAGTTACCTGGGAGGGGGTGCTCCGGCCTGGAGGGACTAAACTGGGGCGGGACCTGCCTGGGAGGGGCCTGCCGTTTGAGTAGGTCACAGGCGCAAAGGGGGCGCGGGGCCGGAGGACTCGGGGGCGGAGGCGGAGGCGGGACCGCTTTGAGGGACCGCCTTCCCCCGCCCTCCGCGGCCTTAGGTTCAGACCCCGCTTCCCGGAAGATGGGAGGAGGTGAGAAGCTGGAGCCTCAGCCTGGATTCCGGGGAGACCGAGGGGGACGGGGTAACGAAGTTGGGGCTCAGGTGTGAAGCTCTGAAATGACACCTCGGGTGTGGAAGGGCTGCGGCGGCCTTTGACCTCGGAAGAAGACCCCATGATGGGGGCGTCGGCCGGGAAAGCTCTCGAAGGCCTTGTGGAACCCTCTAGGCCATGGAGGCCTTAGCCCGCTAGTCGCGGGCGCTCACTAGAAGGTTGTCTAAGTGAAGACACTTGTAATCACTTTGAGGTACACGGTTCTAACAACGTAGAGAGTCAATTGGGTGAAGTTCACAGGGGAAGCCAGCAATGCCGTGTTGGAGGGTTCACTGAACCGGGAGACTAAACCAAGGCCAAACAGAAGCACGTAGAGGCTTTCAGTCCTGTCTCTCCATAAGGCTGTTCTCGAAATAGTGTTTGAGATGAGAACTAGTTGAGTGTTGAGAAAACCTGATGGTTGTTCCAGGCCAGTATCACCCATCTTTCTCCACTCAGTTCTGGCTGAACTACTGTAAAACCTTAATGGAAATTTCTCCACCTTTTGCTTTGTCCCGATATTGTCTTATCTCCGCCTTTTTGAAAAAATTTGTTTATTTTAGTTGGAGGCTAATTACTTTACAATATTGTAGTGGTTTTTGCCGTACAGTGACATGAATCATCCATGGATGTACATGTGTTCCCCATCCTGAACCCTCTCCCACCTCCCTCCCCATCCCATCCCTCAGGGTCATCCCAGTGTACTAGCCCTGAGCATCCTGTCTCATACGTCAAACCTGGACTGGCTTTTTGTTGATGAGATCTTCCACCGTTCAGAAGACCCCTGTCTTTTATTTAGACCAGTTTTATATGCACTGTATGAATATTTGCATTGGCTGATTCAGTTTTGTCCTATTTTATTTTTTTTGTCCCTGAAATGTGCCATGTATTTCTTTCCGCTCATCTCCCAGCTAATCAACAAGAGACAAAATTTGTTGAATGTCAGGCACATTCCTAATGCTTTCACACAACTCAGTAAGAGGCAGGTACCGTTATTCTCATTTTGTAAATGTTCAAACTGAGGCCCAGAGCCCTTGAGTAATTTGCCCCAAGTCACACAATGTGTAAGTGAGTTATCCAAGTTCAAACTTGGTCAGTCTGTGGGCTCCAGACCTCTACTTCCATGCCATGCTCTGCTGCTGAGAGGAAAGTGAGGTAATCTTGCTCACTGGCATTTCCCCTGATCCTAGCACAGTGCCTGGCACACAGTAGAAACTCACAACTAAATGTCAGATTGAATTTCCATAGTGCCTTAAAATCCTGCATTCATGGTGCTCAACAAAGGATGGCTTCAGAAATCTAATTCAGGAAGATAAAGTTTATCAAGGGGCTATATAAAGTGTTATCTTAAAATGCATTTTCTCTAAAATGTTATGAGTTGCTTTTTGTAGACCTTTAAAATTTATATCAATATGATATATAAACAATCCAAATTTATATAAATATTTTATGTTCCCCAACTAATGGGAAATAGCATGGTATTTTAGAAAGAACGTTGGTTTCAAGACCAGAGTTTGAATCCTGCCTCTGCTTCCCAGTTGCTGCTTATCTTGAGCATATTGTTTTACAACTTTGAGCCCCTCTGTTTCTTTAACTGAAATAAGGATAACATTATTTACAGATTTCATCTGAGAAACAGAGAATGTGCTTTCAGTATTGCAAGTAGATACTTAATACATATTCATTTTGGTCATAAGAGGCAGTGTACCATAGTGGTTAGAAGTCAGACTGCCTTTTCCCCATTCCAGTTGGTACAGTAATTTTTTTCTTTCTCTGCTTTAATTGTTCTTTTCTCCCCTTGTCCATTGGTTGGCTGCTCCATCTCTCAACATCTAGTTCAGATATGACCTCTAGTTTTTCCTGACCACCACCCCAGGACAGAATTCTTGGTGCTTCCATCTGTTCCCTTAGCCATATCTAATGTTTGTTGAACACTTACTAGCCACTGTGTCCTCTTCTGAGTCTTTGACACCTGGTAACTCATTTAATCTCCTGTGGGGAAGAGGCACTTTTTGCTTTACAGATTGAGGCCAAGACAAGGGTTAAACAACTGCCTCACGGTCCGCCCAGCTAGTACGTGATGCAGCCAGCATTCAAGCCATGCAGCCCCTGAGTCTTAACCACAGACTTTTGCTGCTGTAGTTTCTTCTCCTTGCTCGTGTCTAAGCTTCTAATAACATGTGCCAGAAACATTTCTTTTCCTACAACAATGCTTCTAGGAAGATGCTATCTCCTTGCACTTGATCACCATGCAGAACTCAGCTGTTGCCTCAGGCTCACTTTTTCAGTTTTCTTTTACAGAGTCTACTTGATAGCTTCATAGTTCACTCCTTTGCTGTGTTTCTTTTCCTTTTTCTTCTTGCTTCGTTTTAGCTAAAATACTCCCTTTGAGCTGGTAAGCACGTGCTCACCCATTGTCACTTGTGGTGTCTAACTCTTTGCGATCCCATGGACCGTAGCCTGCCAGGCTCCTCTGTCCATGGGATTTTCCCAGCAAGAAAACCAGAGTGGGTTGCCATGCCCTCCTCCAGGGAATCTCCCCCACCCAGGGATCTCCCCCAACCCTTATCTCCTGCATCTCCTGTGTTGCAGACCAATTCTTTTCCTGCTGAGCCATCAGGGAAACCCTAGCTAGTAGGCATGAATAAGAATAATGCTTATACCAGGTAAGCAGAGATCCCAGAAACTGTAAGATAATTTGGAAATAAAATGGAGATAGCATCTTCCTAGAAGGATTGTTATAGGAAAAGAAATGTTTCTAGCACATGTTATTAGAAGCTTAGACATGAGCAAGGAGAATGAACTGCAGCAGCAAAAGTCTGAATTTAAGTTTCTTGTACTGAAGGACTAAAGTTGTTTAAACTGCTGGAAGGTTCTTAACAGAATCTCCTTTGTTTTGATAGAGTTTCACCTAGTTCCTGATTGTTATCTATTTAACTAGCTTTTCTTCAGGGACCATCATGGGTAGTATACATTAAAAATGCTGTTCAGTTTTATTGCTTTTCTTTTGCTTATTTATTCCTGTTACAAAAGATTGTTTTGTTTGCCTTTTAGGCTTGGGCTTTCCTGGTGGCTCAGATGGTAAAGAATCTGCCTGCAATGCGGGAGACCCGGGTTTGATCCCTGGGGTGGGCAGATCCCCTGGAGAAGGGAATGGCAACCCACTCCAGTATTCTGGCCTGGAGAATTCCATGGACAGAGGAGTCTTGCAGGCTGCAGTCCATGGGATCACAAAGAGTCGGACCTACCTGAGCAACTAACACTTTTACACTTTGGCTTACTTTATTTCGATCAGTTGATAACTTAAGGAAGCATTTGTGGCTTCTCTTGGGAACCTAATGACCATGTTTAGTATGATTTTTATGGCAGAACTTGTAGAGTTAAAATTGTAAGTAATAAAATGGATAATTTTGAATAATTTTGTGGCTAAGGCACATGACTAAATGATGTGTTTGTTGGTAATTTTTGTATTTACTGTGAGTGCTGCATGGCAGATATATGAAGCAGCAAGGTAATCTTTCCCTATATGTAAATAGGAAGGTGGGAGAAGAATAAATTAGCTACATAACGTATGTGCACTGTCTGAAATGGTATCTAATTTTTCATAACTAAAAAAGTTAAAAACAAGTCTTGGAGAAAAAGAAACACAAGCTCTCCCCCCCACCCCACCCCCAAGCTCCTTTTATGTTTTAAAAAAAAGCTAAAGCAGTCAAAAATCTGAGGTATGAATTGTAAAATTCTTAATGTATTCTTTTTGATATTAAAAGGAAGATGTAGATTCCTTCATGAAACAGCCTGGGAATGAGACTGCAGATATTGTACTGAAGAAGCTGGATGAACAGTACCAGAAGTATAAGTTTATGGAACTCAATCTTGTGCAAAAGAAAAGGAGGTAAGTGTAAAAATTTCTAAGTTTTTAAGATCAATATTACATCACTGAAACTTTTGAAAGATTGAGATAATTTGTATACAGATAAAATGTCTATGTGTTGAATATTCAGTTTTATGAATTTTGATAAATGTATCCATTTCTGTAACCACTGCCCAGATAAACATATGGAACATTTCTGTTACCCAGGAAGTTTCCTCCCAGCCCTTTCCGGCCAACCATGCCCGCTCATAGAGACAAACACTGTTCTGATTATTTTCACCATAAATTAGTTTTGTCTGTCCTTGAACGTCATATGACTGGAACCATATAGTAACTACTCTTTTATGTCAGGCTCCTACACTAGGGCTTCCCTGGTGGCTCAAATGTTAAAGCGTCTGCCTCCAATGCGGGAGACCCAGGTTCAATCCCTGGGTTGGGAAGATCCCCTGGAGAAGGAAATGATAACCCATTCCAATATTCTTGCCTGGAGAATCCCATGGACGGAGGAGCCTGGTAGGCTACAGTCCACGGGGTCGCAAAGAGTCGGACACGACTGAGTGACTTCACTTCACTTCTTACACTTAGTATAGTGGTTTTGAGGGTCATCATCCATGGTACTGTGGGTATCAGTAAATTAGTTTCTTTTTAGTGCTGAGTCATTTTCCACTGTATGTGGGTTTACCACAGTTTTTGTCTATTTTTATCTATTTGCTTATTAATGGACATTTGGGTTGTTTCCCCATTTGGTCTTAAATCTTTGCATGGACATATATTTTCATTTCTCCTGGATTATTATCTAAGAGGTAGAATCACTGACTTGTACGGTAAGTATGTTTAATTTTATGAGAAACTGCCAAAAATCCTAGGTGGCTCTAGCATATTATACAGCCACATTGCATTATTACATTACTTTAGTATTACATTATTGCAGTTATATGCAATTAATGCAATTATTGTTGTATATTACGTTACAGCAATGTATGGGAGTTCCAGTTCTTCAATCTCGCCAGCACTTTTTGTTGTCAGTCTAAGATGCTTTTGAAAACCTAACAGAAGGAGTATTGAAGTCCTTATTCCATACCATCTAGGATCATAACATCTTAAATATCTACTTCATTTTTTCATTTTGCCAATGAGATGGCAGACCCACAGAAGTTACAACTTTCCCAAGATTTCATAACTAATAGGCTTGGGCCAAAAATATTCTCATTTTCAGTCCTTTATTCCCTTATATTTTTATAGTAGCTTATGCAGTCAGTTCACTGTAATAAATACTTACAGACACCTGCTATACACATGTGCCAGCATTCTGATGTCAAATATTATGGAGTTCCTAATAGGTGCCAGATACTATTTTTGGGTAAAATACCAATATCTGCTTTCAGTAGGGGTGTAGTCTAGTGGCATGATAGGTGTGTAAATAAAAGAAGTACACATAGTATAGCAGTTAAGGTGCCGTGGTATGGAGTGATGAGTTAGCAGAGGTTAAGGGGTGAGCTGCAGGGAGACACGGGGGTTCAGGGGAAACTTCCAAGAGGAGCAGATGGCTGTGTAGAATGTTGAAGGCTGGTTATGAGCTTAGAAGCAGACTAAAGGGAGGAAGGGTAGTCTGGGTATGCGGGTACCACTTAGGTAAAGATACAAAAGTTGGTGTTTAGATGGGAATTCCTCTTTCTTTTTTAAAATGGATACACTGTGGACATCCTGTTTGACTTAACATTTAATTTGAATGTACTTTGATTTAACAGTTTTTTTTTCCTTAATGGTTAGTGCTTTTTGTATCCTGTTTAAGAAATATCCCAAGTTCATGAGGATATTCTCTTCATGTTTTATTTTCAGAGGTTTATTGTTTATCTCACACTTTGATCTATAATCTGTGGGTAATTCAGAAGGATGTTGCTAAATTTCACAGCAGTTGTGGGCTTTTCAAGTATGTTTCTTTGCCCATTGATAGTTGTTTCTGCATTCTTGTTCATAATCAGGTTTTTCTTTTGTTTCTTTCTCTTCTCTTTTTTTGTTTTGGTAACACTTGCATAGGCTTGTGTATGGTTTCTCCATTAAGAGGCAGATAATATCTAGTTCTCTCCTACAATGATGCTTAATTCCTCAATTCATTAGTGATGAGTTGCAAAATGCTAAAGTTCTAATTCAGTTATTTGTTTTTTATTTCTTAATAAGCTGGCATGTTTTTATAAACAGAAACGTCCCTTCATGTGCTCTTTGGTAAAAGTGGCTGTAAGAAATCGGCTCACCTCTCAGTTTGTCCCTGGCAAGATTAGCCCTGTAGTCCATCACCTCAATAGCTCTCTGCTGCCTGGCTGCAAAGGAAGTGTGTATTTTCCCTGGCTACTTGGAGCAGTTAGAAGTGCACGTGCTGGGTCTGCCGCCATCTTAACCTGAAACAATTTCTATCCTTTTCTTTTTTAAGCTTTTTACTCTGTTTCATTAGGTACATGCAGTTTGAGAATTATGAAGTCTTCTTTCTGATTTTAAACCCATGTAAAATAATGTTTCTTGTTTTAGTCAGTTTTGTTGGAAACTTAGAGCTACTTCACCTTTGTTTTGGCTAACATTTAAAAAAAATCTATTGTTGGAGTATGTTGATTTATAATACTGTGTTTCTGTCATATAACAAAGGGAATCAGCTATACATATACATATATCCACTCTTTTTTAGATTCTTTTTCCATATAGGTCATTACAGAGTTCACTGCTATATAGTAGGTCCTCACTAGTTATCTGATTTCTGTAAAGTAGTGTGTGTATGTCAATCCCAATTTCTGAATTTATCCCTCACTTTTTATTTCCTCCTTAGTAACCAGAAGTTTGTTTTATACATCTGCGAGTCTGTTTCTGTTTTGTAAATAAGTACATGTGTACCCTTTTTTTTTAGATTCCCCATGTAAGCAATGCCACGTGATACTTGTCTTTCCCTGTCTGACTTAATTCACTTCATATCACAGTCCCTAGGTCTATCTGTGTTGCTGCAAATAGCATGATGTCATTCCTTTTTATGGCTGAGTAATATTTCATGGTACATATATACTGCATCTTCTCTGTCCATTCCTCTGTCCATAGACATTTAGGTTGTTTCCATGTCCTGGCTGTTGTAAACAGTGCTGCAATGAGCATTGAGGTGCGTGTATCCTTTCAAATCATGGCTTTCTCCAGATATATGCCCGGAAGTGGTGGCTAACATTTTCTTGGTATATCTTCTCCAATGCCTTTTCTTTCAACTGTTTTTACTATTTATATTTAAGGGTGTTCCATGTAAACAACACGGATTTCTTTTTTTAAATCCAACCTATCTTTTTCGATAAGCTCATTTTTCTTTTTGGATACTTTGAAGATTGACAGCTCTTTTGTTTTCAGTTCAGTTCAGTTGCGTCCGACTCTTTGTGACTATGCACTGCGGCACGCCTGTCCATCACCAACTCCCGGAGCTTGCTCAAACTCATGTCCATTGAGTCAGTGATGCCATCCAACCATCTCATCCTCTGTTGTCCCCTTCTCCTCCTGCCTTCAATCTTTCCCAGTATCAGGGTCTTTTCCAATGAGTCAGTTGTTCACATTGGATGGCCAAAGTTTTGGAATTCAGCTTCAGCATCAGTCCTTCCAATGAATATTCAGGAATGATTTCCTTTAGGATAGACTGGTTGGATCTCCTTGCAGTCCAAGGGACTGTCAGGAATTCACCAACACCACAGTTCGAAAGCATCAATTCTTTGGCAGTCAGCTTTCTTTATGGTCCAACTCTCACATCTGTACATGACTACTGGAAAAAGCATAGCTTTGACTATATGGACTTTTGTTGGTAAAGTAATGTCTCTGCTTTTTCATATGCTATCTAGGTTGGTCATAGCTTTTCTTCCAAGGAACAAGCGTCTTTTGATTTCATGGCTGCAATCACCATCATGGTGATTTTGGAGCCCCCCAAAATAAAGTCTGTCTCACTGTTTCCATTGTTTCCCCATCTGTTTGCCATGAAGTGAGGGACTGGATGCCATGATCTTAGTTTTTTGAATGTTGGAGTTTTAAGCCAGCTTTTTCACTCACCTGTTTCACTTTCATCAAGAGGCTCTTTAGTTCTTCTTCGCTTTCTGCCATAAGGGTGGTGTCATCTGCATATCTGAGGTTATTGATATTTCTCCTGGCAATCTTGCTTCCAGCTAGTGCTTCATCCAGCCCAGCATTTTGCATGATGTACTCTGCATATAAGTTAAATAAGCAGGGTGACAATATACAGCGTTGTATACTCCTTTCCCAATTTGGAACCAGTCCATTGTTCCATGTCTGGTTTTTACTGTTGCTTCTTGTCCTGCATACAGATTTGTCTTTTTTGAGGCTATGTTTCTTAAATTCTTTCTTAACTGACCTACATGCAGGTTCCTTTAGCCATGGATACCTGTGTGGATTGCTTTTATCCATAGAGGAGTTTGTTTTTTGGCAGCTGTGCATCTATATCAGCCTTGGACCTCTTGAACCCTGTTCCTAGTTCTTGCACTTAATATGTGAGCTCCCAACTGAAGTGTGTCAGGGGCCCAGGCTCAGGTCTCCAGCTGGTATTGGCACCTGCCTTGAGACACATGGTTTTCTGTAGTCCTCACTGCTCAACTCAAAGCCTTTTCCAGTTTTATTCTTATCTTATTTTTCCCCTGAAAGTTAGTTCCCTGACCTCTGATAGCAGCTATGCAACAAAACTACTTCTGTGGTTGATTGTTTTACAGCAGACGGTTCTGTGTAGTGTGGATAGTAACCTTTTCTTTACACATGTTGTTTGTCTTTTCTTGCACTCTGTCATTTAAATTTACCTTCAGCTGTATAAAAGTTACTTATTATTTCATAATTTTCATGTGGTGATCTTTTTAACACTTGAATTTTTATGTGCTTTTATAAATTTCTGTAACTGGGAATTTTTTGATCATTTTTTTTGAACATCTGTTAATTTTTTTCCTTTTCTCATTCTGGGATTCGTGTTAATGTGGATGTTAATTAACTCTTCTAATTCTGCCTTCCCTTTC